TAAGGTATCATAGGAATTGAAGGCTAAAAGATACGTTTGTACTATAAGTTTATACCAAATTTTATTTTAGTATCTTAATTTTAAAAAGTATATTTTTAGTTTCTTAATCTTGATGCCGAAAATCTCATTTAACGAAAAAGTTGACTCAACAAATTCAAATAAGCTTTACATGAAAATAATTATATTAAAGAATTAAAATTTAGAGCATGCTTTACTTTGTTAGCATTTACTTACACACCTTTTAAGTTACCGAGTCAACATATATCTTTCGTCAAATTAGATTAACAGTATTAAAATTAAAAAACTAAAAATACACTTTTTTTTAATTTAAATGACTAAACTGAAACTGGAGATAAATACAAAAGGTTAAATGTATATTTTAGCTTAAAATTAAGACATGCATACAAAGATAAACAGCTTGAGAGGATTAGAAGAACATGCTACCTTTATTGAAGCGTGTAGATAGTTTCTTTTCGAACGAAAAAAAAAAAATCTGTTTTTGTCGTCTTTGTATGGATGCTAACTTTTTTTTTTTTTGGAGTGAAAAGAGAATATATTAAACAATTATGTACAGAGAATTACAAAAGCCACCATCGAAATCGTCGGGTCAATAGCTCTAAGAAGGTCCCCAGGATGCTGACTTTAATTTGCTTGGCAAGTAGGTAATGCCAGCCCACAATGAGAGGCGCAACGTGGCCACAAGAGTATCCCATCGATTTGGGCATTAAATAAAGGAAAAATTACCGTCAGGTCCACATTAAAAAATTAAGTATAAGTAGGTTCTTTAAATTTCATTCACTATTAATAGATTTTAAAATATTTAATATCTATAAATTTGATTTACATGTAGTTTAACTTATAAAAATTAAAATTTCTCAAAATTAATTAGTATTATATTATATGATGCATCATGAATACCATCATCGTGCCATTTCAATTGTTCTCACCCTTCTTTACCAAGTGCTTAGCTTAATTAGGGGGAGAATTTATTATTGAGATAAGGTCCAATTTTATCCTGAAAATATTCGCTTAAGAGCTACTAACTCTGTTCTTTATTATAATAATTTGTTTAACTTTTAATTTGGTCCTAAATATAAGATCCTAATTCACTTTGTCTTTCATATTTATTTATTTTTTCTAAAATAGTCCTTTTAATAGTTATACATGTTAAATATTTCATCAAATGGTAATTCTGGTTGATATACATAATTAGTAAGGATATTTTAGGAAAGACAACATATATTTATAACAAATAACTAACTTAATTAATTTTTTTAATCTTCTTAAATTAGTTAACTAAATCTTATATTAAAAATCAGAGAGCTTGTATATGTATTTGAAAGTTCCTTTGGCAACAGTGTTACTCTGAAAATATAAAAAATATAGCAACGTTGCCCCCAGTTTGAAGTGTTTATTTTTATTGTTAAATTTCAGTGGCAGTAGTTCCACCCAATCCCTTGTGTTCCCCCCCTCTTCTGATGAACCACCGCGGGTTGTCTCTCACTCTTGAATCTTTTCATACCCACGCCATGCTTCCCTCCTCAGGCTTAGCTATCAATCTCTCTCACCCCTCCACCACTGGCTCTCCCCTCCCCACCGGTAGGCTCGGTTTCTTAAATGAAACCAACATGAAAGGGAAGACGTGGACTATGATGAAAAGAAGAGTTTTGTTTAAGACCTGTGTTTAACACTTGGGCTGCTTAGCAACTAGCCTATGCTGAGAGTACTATAACATGTTGTCCCCGCAACTATTAATCCTGAAAATATATTTGAAATGGAAAGCATGGAAGTGGAAGGCAGTAACTGTGGTGGGAGGTGGGAGATGTTAAGGGGCTGCTTTTAAACAAAAAAATTAAAATAGATTTGAAACAGATCAACCATTCCCTGCATATAAAATCAGTTTGATTTCCTTTCCTTGTTCATTAGATATAGCTGTTCACCGAGCTGATTGTTTCCCATATTTCATCCTTTGAGTCTTGGCAGGAAAAGAATTACAAGCATGTTATCATTAGCAGCTAATCTAATGCCTATGGCTCTTTGAAACCAGTCTCATAAAAAATTCTGAGATTACGTATTTGATGATGTTAAAGTTTTGAACTTCTGATAACTCCGCTCTTATTTCTCAATAATGGGCAAAAACATGGAGTTTCAGGATGTTGTGAGTTTCTCACAAAGTAATAGAAGCAGAGAAATTTGATGCCTTCACTCGCGGCCGAAATGGAAGATCCTGATCCTCTACTGTTCATCGTTGGCCATTCCTTCTAAGCAATCAAAAGTGAGAAGGGCGAGAGAGATTGGTAGGTAAGCCTGAGGAGGGAAGCATGGTGTGGGTGTGAGAAGAATATTAGAGGGGATCGACGGCAGTTCGTCAGAAGAGAGAGGAAAGGAATCGACCAGGTGGAACATAGTAGTGTGCCACCTAAGACATCAGTTAAGTTTAACCGTCAAAATTAACATTTTAAAACTGGTTGGATGACGTTGCTATGTTTTTCACACTCTTGAGATAATATTGTTCTTAAAAAAATTTTCAAATGCCCACAACTTCTGAACGAATATTTTCAGGGCAAAATTAAACTTTATTTCTTTATTATTTAGAGGGAGAATACTATGGGTCCCACGTTGGGTAACCTGCCTTTAAAAAACTGGTTTTTGTTTTTACTTTTAGCTAGAAAAAAAAGGGACTTGTAAGGTTTTGGGTTTTTCAACTTCTCCATGAACAATACTCCCTTCTAATCATATTTATAAGTTTTAAATTTAAGAAGAGATGTGATCTATTTTATAAGTTTCAATTTGAGATTTGTCTTAACATTTAACACTTTTTTTATTTCACCTTTAATTATTTATTCTCCCCTTTTTTATCATATTCTCTCTTATGATATTTCTGCACACATTCTCTTTCATTTATTTTCTTATTTATTATAAAAGCATATTAGGAAACAAAGTTATATTTTTAACCTATTCATCACTTTTAATTAATTTTTATCAATGATTCGTTATCCATGACTTAATTATTTAAAACTTATAATAAAAACATAAATGAATAGCAAACATGTGAGGTTTCGCGGGTTGTTGTATTACTCCCTCTTGTGTTTACTTAAAACATTCATAATAATGGAGACATACAAATTTAAGAAAAGTGTTTTAATATTTTATAGTTTAAATTTAAATTTCTGTCCATTCAACTTCTTTAAAAAATTCGCTTGGGGACTTAGGTTCTTTTGTATTCTTCCAATCCTAAATATAAGACACTTTTTATAGTGTAAATTACACTATAAAATGAGTCTTATATTTAGGACTGAAGGAATAGTATGTTAAAAATTCATCATCCTTAATTACAGTTAACATCTTTATGTCACGCTATTCTTACTTTTTATTATTTGTTATTTGTATGAGTTTCTCACATAACCAAAAAAAATTAAATAGATGAAATATTTTATTTTTATAATTAACATCTTTATGTGATGCCACTTGACTCTTTTTTATTTGTCACTTATATGAGTTTTTCACATACCAAAAATAAATAAATAAATAAAATATTTCACTTTTATCCTTATTATTGAGATGGATATTAAAAAAAAAACCACTATCTGAGTTAATTAATTTTTATTATAATCAATAGGAACAAAATTAGATATGAAGCACTAAAAATGTATAAATAGCAAATAAAAAGAACCAAAATTTCCTACTATAATTAATAAATACTCCCTCTAGTCCTATATATGGGTTTCATTTTCAAAAATAGGTCTAATCCAAAATATAAGTTTTATTTTTGAGTTTGTTTGGATATTTATTACTTTATCTCATGTTTTGCCCTTAGTTGACTATAATTAGTATTCTCTCTCTCATTAATATTATTCCCATATATTCTTTTTTATTATTATTTTTTAATTTATTGTCTCTCATTTGCTCTCTTAATAAATAAGGACAAATTTTAAAAAAAGAAGATATTTTTAACCTATTTATTAGTTTTAACTAATTTTAACTATTAATTTATTAAACATAATTCGCTTATTTGAAGTTTATATATAGCACCGCGAGAGTAATAAAAACCAAAGGAGTAACCCATAAGAAATGGTCCAATTAGTAAGGAGTCGGCTCATAACTCACAAGGTCATGAGTTCAAATCCCGTTGTTGATGTGAGGACCTTGTTGGTGGCGATTTGTAAGTATTTCTGTAAGTGTTTTCTGAGCCTGGAGGCATATCTTGGCCCTAGTAAGTTTAAACTTTTTTTTTCCTGAAAAAAAAAAACAAAGGAGTACAACGACAAACAACGTTGTTCTCGTGGTCTCCCCACTCTTTGGACATCAGATTATGTGGACCATGAAATCTGTGCCACGGATTTTTATAATGCCTTAAGATTGTTGATTCTCATATTGTCCTAAGCTCTGTTTAAATTTATCAATAAACCACAATTTTTAAACAAAAATTTAAATAATGAGAAACAATTTTCTTTTACTTTACATTACGAAACAAAAAAATGAAGGAAAAAAACTGAAAATGTTACCATCTTAAGCTCTCAACTGTACATTTGAATTTTTTTTTTGAAATCACAATTTCGCATCACGTTACCTTAAAAAACAAAAACAATTTGCACTAAGGTAATAAGTTTTGTCGTTTTACAGCAATAATAGGCTGCAATGTTGCATGATTAATTCCGTCGCTGGCGTGGCCCTTCGGATTTGAAACCGCACTCAAATCATTTCGAATTTGAGACCCCACTCCAATCATTTTGAGTGCGGATCACAATAATTAGCACTTTATTCTTATCAAATCTCAGTTTAAATTTAATATAAATAACTAAGATTTAAATTTAAATTTTTTATTTTTAAAAAATAATTTTTTAATAGAAGATAATCAAGAAATAAATGCAAATTTAAATCTAAACTAAGATAATGTAAATTTTAGTACAATGATGAGTATCCTAGTGCTACCGAGGCCATTGTTCCTCTATATTATATCCTTTCGTTCTCATCTTTTCCGTAAGCTTTTCTCGCTCAAAATCATCATGGAGGTTTGGTTCGTCGTCCTCGTCTCTGTCTCTCTCTGCCTTCTTCTCAGAGCTTTCTTCAACCTTCTCCTTCCTTCTTCCTCTCCTCCTCTGCCTCCTGGTCCTCTCCGTTTCCCCTTCATCGGTTCTTTCACTTTGCTGGGAAAATCACTCTTACAACTCGAACCCACTCTCCGAAGTCTTCACGCCAAGTATGGCCCCATCGTCAGTCTCCCTCTCGGTCCTCGTCCTGCCATATTCATTGCTGATCCATCTCTTGCCCACCAAGCTTTCGTCCAAAACGGCGCCGTCTTCTCTGATCGTCCCGAGCCAGACCCTTTTACGAGGTTAATCGACATTAACCTACGTACCATTCGCTCTTCTTTCTACGGTCCAGCATGGCGCTTGTTTCGTCGAAATCTCACCACCGAGATGCTTCACCCGACCCGGATCAAATCATTTTCCGGGGAACGTAAATGGGTTCTGGACATGCTTCTCAGTCGTCTCAGGTCTGACTCAGAATCAAACAAGCCCATTATGCTGATTGACCATCTCCGTTATACTATGTTCTCCTTGATTCTGTTCATGTGCTTCGGTGAGAGGTTAGATGAAAAGAAAATCAGGGATATAGACTATGTTCTTCATCGTTTTCTTTTGGACTTCTACAAGTTCAATGTGCTAAATTTCTGGCCAAGAGTGACCAGAATATTGTTTCGCAAACGCTGGGAGGATTTGCTGCAACTGTTAAAGGACCGAGAAAATTTGATAATTCCACTGATAAGAGCGAGAAAGAAAGCCAAGGAAGAGAGATTGAGTAAGACGACGAAGGAAAGTAGAAGTACTGTGTTCTACATGGATGCATTGTTGGACTTGGAGTTGCCTGAGGAGAAGCGCAAGCTAGAAGAATCTGAAATGGTTTCGGCATGCGCAGAGTTTCTTGATGCAGGGACAGACTCAACATCTGTTACACTACAATGGATTCTGGCAAGTTTGGTGAAGTATCCTCAGGTTCAACAAAGGCTTGCGGATGAAATAAGAGAAGTGATGGGTGAAAGAGAGGACAAGGAAGTGAAGCAGGAAGATTTGAACAGATTGCCATATCTGAAAGCTGTGATTTTGGAGGGATTAAGGCGTCATCCACCTACTCACTTCCCACTGACACATGCAGTGTCAGAAGACGTGGTTTTGAATGGTTACTTGGTGCCAAAGAAAGGGACTGTGAATTTCATGTTGGCAGAGATGGGGTGGGATCCAAAGGTGTGGGAAGATCCAATGGAGTTCAGGCCTGAGAGGTTCTTGAATGATAATGGTGAATGGAATGGTATGGAATGGGATGCAAGTGAAGCATTTGATATTAAAGGAGGGAAAGAGATGAAGATGGTGCCATTTGGGTTAGGAAGAAGGATGTGCCCAGCTTCTAATATGGCAATGCTTCATTTGGAGTATTTTACAGCCAATCTGATTTGGAACTTTGAATGGAAGCCTGCAACTGATACTGTTGATTTGTCAGAGACACAGGAATTCTTGGTCGTCATGAAAAATCCATTGCAGGTTCACATATCTCCCAGGCTTTAGAAGCATAATGCAAAATAAATGAAAATCTATGTATGTGTTTGGGTTAATTTGAGTGGTTTCATGTTATATATGTAAGATTAGAACTGTATTTGAGAATTTAATTTCAGTCTGCAAGTGAGTTTCCAAACACAGGCTTAGCAGTTGAAAAAAACGTGAGTTGTTTGGTGGCTTAATATTTAATGAATAATATAATGAAAGCATTTTAGTGTGATTATATTATATTTTGTTATATTATGATTGGCAGACATTACGCATATATATATATATATATACACACACACATATACATATTTATATATGTGTGCGCGCAGTTGTCGGCAAGGTTACTGTACTGTGCAAGCAAGTGGCTAAGCGATATACTGTCTTCTGTCTTATTTATAAAAGTTTGATTAATTTGAGGAGATTGATGAAAGAAATTAAGTTATTTATTTATAACAAATAGGTCTTACTTTTCTAAAATATCTTACTAATCAAGTGTATTATTAGAACTATTATTATTAGAAGAACTATCTTGAAAAAAATACATAAATATGAGAGACAAAATGGATTGAGGTCTTATATTTAGGACCAAAATAAAAGTCAAACAGGTTTTATATTAAAGATCGGAGGTAGTATAAATAAATCCTGTATTTAAATAGGTGTTAAGTGGGAGTTGGCATAATGCTAGTGTTTTATAATGTTTTCCAAATTCAAGGTATCTTATTATCAAGATATTATAAATGATCATTAGGAGATATTCCCAATATTAATCACAATCACTTGTATGTTTTCGGAAAGGAAGATTAGGCTTTAAATATTTTTTATATCATAAATATCTTACACAGTCACTATATGAGGAGAGGACACCATGAGTACGTAGATACACACAGAAGAGAATAAACTTGGCTATGATTAGGTTTTAAATTCGCGACCTTTCATCGCCCAAAAACAAACTCGTGACCTTTCCTTTGTAAGAAAGTTTTCACGTTATCATTGTATAATATTACTCCGATCTTGAATATAAGAATTAGTTTACTTTCAATTTAATTCTATATATAAAATCTTAATTTATTTTGTCTTTTATATTTATCTATTTTTTTTCAAATAATTCTTGTAGTAGTTGTACATGTTAACAGTACCATTAATTTTTTTTCAAATAATTCTTGTAGTAGTTGTACATGTTAACAGTACCATTAAATGGTAATTTTAACTAATATACTTCTCCAGTCCTTAATATAGGACCCAATTATTAAGTTAGTTTTGGTCCTAAATATAAGACTCATTTCTCATATTTATCAATTTTCTCTAAATTACCCTTATGGATACTTCATCAACCATAATCAAGTAGAAGAAGAAGAGGAAGTATTAAGAAAGATGATTATGATATTTTAGAAAAAACGTGTCATATTTCTTATAATTAACTAACTTACTTAACTTTTAATCTAATCAAATTAGTTAAATGAGTCTTATATTAAGGACTGAAGGAGTATATGATTAGCAAGGATGTTCTGAAAAAGTAATATCTATTAATTACAAATAACTAACTTAAACCAATTTTCTTAATTTTTCCAAATTAGTCAATTAGGTCTCATATGAAAAACTGGAAGTAGTATAAGAGTTAGATAACTAAATTAAATATTTAAAAAAAATTAGTTAAATTGGTTATTTGTCACAAATCTAAACTATCATTGAATGATCATAATTATCCTTTTGTGTAAAGAAAACTTTTTACAATCAATAGGGATATTTTGAAAGGAAAAAAAAAAGACACAAAGTAAATTGAAACCTTATATATTTAGAATCAAATTTAACTTTCAACTTTCAACTAACTATTATATTACGGATAACAGATAATATTATTAACACGTGCGTGAATGCCACATTTAAATGTTATAACTGAGCTCCAAGACATATGGTGCACTGGAAGTGAAGGGCAAGACATTTACTTTCAAGTTTCAATGGAACCTATTAATGTCACTATGGAATGGAAGGAAAAAAAAAAAAAAGGGAGTGACTTCATTCGTATAAAACACAAATTTCAAAACATTCTGCTTCTTTTTACGGGAGACAACTAAGTAAATTACATTGTTGAAAATGTTGGTATAAATTAATTAAATATAATAAATATGTAAAAAATATCACTTTCTGTTCTAATTAATTATAAGACCTCGTTTATAATTTATTAATGAAGTCTTATAATTAGAACCGGAGATAATAATATTTTATGTGATGAAAGTTTTTAAGAAATACTACGTCTGTTCTTTAATACAAGCCTTGTTTGAATTTTATCTTGATTCTAAATATAGGATCCTAATCCATTTTGTCTATCATATTTATTTTTTTAAGATAGTCCTTTTAATAATAATAGTTCTAGCCAATAAATTTGATTAGCAAAGATATTTTATAAAAAATAACACATATTTATTACAAATAACTAATTTAACTTATTTTCTTCATCTACTTAAATTAGTCAACTAGCTTTTGTATTTAGTTTCCGAGATACTACCTCCGGTCCTTAATATAAGATCTCATTTGACTTTTATTTTTTCTAAATATAAGACCCTAATCCACTTTGTCTCTCATATTTATGTATTTTTTTCACACTTGATTAGCAAGGATATTTTAAGAAAGACAACACCTATTTATTATAAATAACTAACTTAACTTTTTTCTTTAATCTCCTTAAATTAGTCAACTAGTTCTTATAATTAGGACATGTAGTAGTATATAACCAGCGTGGCAATTTTGTCCCTTCGCATAATTAAAGTTCAGTTTCATTACAGACGGCAGGGACTAGGTAAGTCCCATGTGTCGACGGAGGGCACTAGGAGGAGGGTTACATAGTAAAGATCAAAGAATATTATTCCTCCTCTAATGTATATAAGACATATTTTATAATGCAAATATTACTTTTCTTCTCTTGAATATAAGACCTATTTTATACTATAAATTCTACTACAAAATAGATCTTATATTTAGGATTGGAGGGGTATTTTTCAACATGTATTAAAAAAAACTAATTTTTAATTAATCTTATTAACAGTTTTGAATAGATAGAACGAGCTAAATTTTATTCACTTTTTTCTTTATTGAATCTAAAACATTATTATTTTGGGTTTGAAAATTAAGAAAGAATAGTAATTTATCACATTTGTGTTTTAACAACCTTATTATACTACCTCCGGTCCTAATTATAAAAACTAGTCGACTAATTTTAGAGATTAAGAAAATAAGTTAAGTTAGTTATTTATAATAAATAAGTGTTATTTTTCTAAAATATCTTTACTAATTAAATGTATTGGCTAGAATTACTATTGTTAGAAGGACTACTTTAGGAAGAAAAAAAATATAAATATGAGAGACAAAATGGATTGGGGTCTTATATTTAAGACAAAAATAAAAGTCAAATAAAGTCTTATATTAAGGACCGGAGGTAGTATTAGATTATATGTACTTTATACATGAATACATGGTTTAATGTCTTTTTTATCTAAATTTTATTTTAATTTTGACTCAAATGGACTTTAGTTCAAACGTATTTCTAAACTACTATGTTCATTTACCTAATCGGATCCTTTAACTCTGAGGATTAATTTGTAAGACTAGGCATCCTTCAAGAACGGAAGATCAAGTTTTTTTTTTTGGCACTAATATATTTCTATTATTGATTGTTAGTGGTAATTCGGAACAATCATGGGATGTGAAATCATTCACTTCTATTGGACAATCCGCCAATCCCTGATTGCGAATTTATGCACCCCCGACCTCACTATGTAACTAATACTCCCTCGTATTTTTTTGATAAGCAACAGCTTTTATCTTTAAATATAAACAATATCTTAAATTTTTGCAACAAATTTTTTATTTTATCTCATTAATTATTTATTTTAATACTCAATATATTTATTGTCTCATTTTCTAAATCATCTCTTTCCATCACACATTCTCTTTCTTTCATAATTTTATTTATTATAATAATTTTCTTATTCTCTTTCTATACTCTCTCCTAATAAATGAGGATATTTTAGAGAAAGAACTTTCAATTACCTATTTATTATCCTTAACTATTTTTTTATCTATATAATAGAGCATAAGGTTGCTTATAAAAAGAGACTAAGGGATTAACCGCCAACAAAATCTTGAAATACTTTTATATTTGTAGGTCGGGTAGAAAAATAATTATTTTTATTTATAATTATTTGTAGAGAAAATTTTGATCCTTTTATCTGTTATTTGTATTTTTTAATTCTTTATTTTTAATTTTGCTCCTATTAATTATGATAAAGATAAACAAAGCAAAATGTATATCTTTAATCAGGCAAAAGTGAAAAATTTTATTTATTTAATACTCTTTTTAAGAATAAAATTAAAAAATTGTTAAATTTTAAAATTTATAACATATTTGGGGAAAAAATCATAATTTGGCGAAAATGTGTCAAGCTCACAACCGCAAAGAAATCTAAATTATCTTTCATTCGACACCGGCTTGCTTCTCCAATTTCCATTACCCTCAGCCTCAGGCTGGTTTTCTCACTGATCAAGTGATCATGGAGGTCTGGTGCGTTGTCGTGGTTTCCCTCCTTCTCTGCCTTTTCATCAGAGCTTTCTTCAACCTTCTCCCTACCTCTCCCTCCCTTCCTCCCCCTCCTGGCCCTTCTCGCATTCCCATCGTCGGTTCCTCTATCTTTCTGCGCAGATCATTCTCTGAGCTCGAACCTTTTCTCCGAAACCTTCGTGCCAAGTACGGTCCAATCTTCACTCTCCCCGTCGGCTCTCGTTCTGCTATATTCATCGCCGATCGTTCTCTCGCCCACCAAGCCCTCATTCAACACGGCGCCGTCTTCTCCGACCGCCCCAAGTCCCTCCCCGCCGCTAGGATCATCAACAGTAACCAGCATAACATCAACTCTGCTCGTTACGGCCCCACATGGCGAACTCTTCGTCGCAACCTCACTTCCGAGATGCTTCACCCGACCCGGATCAAAGCCTTCGCGGGTACCCGAAAATGGGTTCTGGACGTGCTCTTCAATCGCCTCAGGTCTGATTCGGAATCAAGCAAGTCCATTAAGGTGATTGACCATCTCCACTATGCTATGTTCTGCTTGCTGGTGTTCATGTGCTTCGGCGAGAGGTTAAACGACAAGCAAGTCAAGGATATTGAATATGTTGAGCGTCGTTTACTTACGAGCTTCTCCAGATTCAATGTGCTAAATTTCTGGCCAAGGGTTACGAAAATATTGTTCCGCAAGCGTTGGGAAGAACTGTACCAGATTCGGAAGGAACAGGAAGATGTGTTGATTCCACTAATAAGAGCGAGAAAGAAAGCCAGGGAAGAGGAGAAGAACAAAACCAAAGAGGACAATAGCAACAGAGATGAAGTTACAGTGTCATATGTGGATACGTTGTTGGATTTACAGTTGCCTGAGGAGAAACGCAAGCTTGAAGAAGGTGAGCTGGTTTCTTTATGTTCTGAGTTTCTGAATGGAGGGACGGATACGACGGCTACCACTTTGCAATGGATTATGGCAAACTTGGTGAAGTATCCACATATTCAGGAAAGGCTTGTGGAGGAAATAAGAGATGTGGTGGGTGAGAGAGAGGAGAAGGAAGTGAAAGAGGAAGATTTGATCAGATTGCCATATCTTAAGGCTATAATTTTGGAAGGATTAAGGCGTCACCCACCTGGGCATTTTGTGTTGCCACACGCAGTGACAGATGATGTGGTTTTGAATGGTTACTTGGTGCCTAAGAATGGGTCAGTAAATTTCATGGTGGCTGAAATCGGATTGGATCCGAAAGAGTGGGAAAATCCAATGGAATTCAAGCCAGAGAGGTTCTTGAATGGGGGTGAAGCATTTGATATAACGGGAAGTAGAGAGATCAAAATGATGCCTTTTGGAGTTGGAAGAAGGATATGTCCGGGTTATAATTTGGCTCTGCTTCATTTGGAGTACTTTGTGGCTAATCTGGTATGGACTTTTGAGTGGAAGTCTTCAAGTGGTGATATTGATCTGTCAGAAAAACTGGAATTCACTGTAGTAATGAAAAATCCATTACAAGTTCATATATCTCCGAGGTCTTAAACCTATCGAGTGGAACTTCTATGTGTATATATTTAATGATACAAGGAATATAGTGTCACCTACTTTATGGTGTTCTAGCATTAGTGATATTTGGATGTATTCTTCAGACAACAGATCATTTACAGATTAGTGTTTGTATTTCTCTTTCTACGTAGATGAAGATAGTGTTGTAGAAGTTGATTTTATACGCAGATCATCTATATATTGATTGGCACAGAAGCTGAATCTGTGCTTTACTTTGAGAAGTACCGATTCTTTGCCGAAACTGAGGGCATCAGTGCCTCCCACTGATTAATGATTGAGGACTTTTCAATGATTTCATCTTATTTTAATATTTATAATATGTTAGAACGTAGGAAATCCATTAAACTCTCATTGAAATAAAGCTCACTGCGCAACAAATGCTGAACGATTGTCAATAGCAGAAATATAAAGAACAGGTTCTTGAAACGTGCATAGCAATTGATTGATAATGCTGGGAAAATAAGGGTTGCGCGTACTCATAGGGAAGGGAACTATTGTGGAGATCACTAGATTGGCTCGCTGATAGAAGCCTCACACATTTTTGGCTGCAGAGGGAAGCGGGCGCTTCTTGCCCAGATTGATTAGTTTGTAATAATTTTGGGGCGCTTAGCCCCACTGTATACCTTAAGGAAAATACCAGCTACATAAGAGAATTTTTTTTCATATTTTTGTGTCTAATGAAAGGGAAGAGAAAGGAAATAAAAAGATTTAAACTCCAATATTAGCTAAAGCCAAACTTAACACATCATTTTAGGGAGATTCACCGTCTCAAACAAGTGCAGAGCGTGCAGACACAATTTACAGACTTATAAATCTAGAACCAGGTGGGTGAAGTATTCATCTCTGGAAATTGTCCCGAACGAACCAAAAATTACTTAATGATCTCTGTGACGGCACTAATGAGAATAGCGAATGCTTAAAAGTTGTTTGATGCTTATGAAGCCAAAAGCGCTTCCAGCTTCGCAATCTGGTCATCCTCATTCTTGGGAACAGGATCCTTGCTAGCCTCTTGATACAAATCATGCTTCCACTTGTCAACACCAGTTTTACTGAAATGAAAGTCTTCTCTCCCATGAAATCTATCTCTTCCTCCGTAATTGCCATTGTACCTTCCTCTAGATAAAAATACATCTCTCCTAGCTTCATTCTTGTTCGGTGCTCTGTCTCCTGCATATTGCTGCTTATCGGGTCTATCCAAATGGCGAGGATTGTAGCGTTTTTCTTCCCTCCTTTCGTTCCTTTCCAGAGGGTGATCAGTTTGGTTTGACTTAGCTGTCTCCGTAGCTACTGGTTTTGCATGTTCATGATCAGCCGGAATCTTCCTCTCCCTAAATGCAGGCCTCTTCTTTGTAGTTGGGGGTGGATCATATATCCTTTCAGAAAGAGCATCTTTTCTCAGGGAAGTATGATCATCCGGTTTGGCTCGTGATTTCTCATCTCTTTGCTCTCTTCTGTGGCTTGTCTCCTTTTCAATTAGCTGCTCCCTCAAGTCCTTCCACCATCCACGTTCTTGAATAAAATAAGTAAATAAATATGATCATTGAATGGTAACCAACTAAGCCGGTGTGTTATATCACAAGCTAGGGAGCAAAAACCATTCACTATGAAAGAAGATAAAGTTCTCAATTGTTGTGATTTAACAGGGCTTCAATTAGCTAAGTGGAATCCTCCCAAAAGTATAATCACCAATAAGGCTTCATTAAAACAATTTCTTGATGCATAGACTCCCCTAAAGGAAAGTAATATCATATGATTTAGTTGAGAGGAATAGCTAACCAACCAACAAGCATGAGTCAGAAGGCTATCAGATCAGAGACCCAGTGTTACCTCTCATGTAGCTCAACCACCTATAAGGCGCCAATTTCAAATTCTTAAAAGATACAGAGAAATTAATAAATAGGAGGAGAAGGAAGCCCAAGAATTTCCAAAGTTACCTATTTCTAATAGCTTCCTAGGGAGAAATCAACGCTTGGAAGGGGAGAAAACAAAAAATAGAATTACTGTGGCTACTGCTATACCTTATCATTGCATATGATGCAATGAATGATGTGTTATGGAGCCAATTTACGAATCATCATACAGTAGACCTGTGTTATGACTAACATGATAACAATGAAGAAAAAAAGGTGAAAGTAACTTTGTCCGAAATTGAAATAAGGAACCCACCACCAGTTGCCATTCGACCAGAGCCTCGTCTGACATGCCCAGTACTGCTGCGTTCATCATGCTGTTACAAGACATCCAAAAGACATGCATAGGCAAGCCTAATATTAAAACACATGAAGGCACTTTAAGGCAAGGATCCAAACATGAATCCAGCTTACAACTTCAGAAAAATAGTTTGCACTGGGGGATCATATCACACGATTAATAAGAGACATAAATTTGTTTCCCTACTAAGATTTTAATATGCAATCTCCAATCCATCCTGAAAGCATGTAAAAGACATTTTCTCTCCCAACCCTTTTATATAAAGGATGGTGACTCTCACTCCAGCTAATCAAGGTTAAGGGCTTTCAGAATTAATCTTAACTACTCACACTTCATACAATGTTTAACCATCAAAGGAACTGCAAACATTTTCTCTCACTTCTGGCTTCTTTTCTTTTTAATTAAAATCTTTGGTTAATATTTCACCTTTATCTCCACATTAGATAACAATCCTTGCTACCTTAAATAACTTGCCATCCATCACAAGAAGCTGTAATAGTTAAATAGGTGATTAGCAAGGATTTGCGTTTAGACATAGAAGTCCACAAATGAGATTCAACACTTCCGTTTAACGGGTGAAAGATGTTCCAATAAAAAAGAACTTTGGTTTCTTGTATTTTCTCCCAATTAACTCCTCCCCCAATTAACAGAGATCTATTAGATGATTGATTGTATAGAAATTTGATGCCTGCGAACAAAGCAGACTATTATAACTCGGGAATAAAAGTTCCCCCATCAACTTAGCTATTGATATTTTTGTGTGGCGTACTTCTACTCCTTTTCAAGAGTACATGAGAAAATATGTTTTGAACAATAGGTGAATGTTCTTTTTCTCTTTTTCCATTTTGATAATTTTCTTTCTCGGCTGAATCTTTAGATAAATGAAAGGGTTTTAACAACTTTTATGGGGCAACGGAGGCCAGACTTGATATGATTGTGAGGAACTTAGTTCATAGGCCTCTAAGCACTTCCAGCGATATCAATTCCTAGTAACGTATAACGAAACACGTAAATCACTAAAATGAAATATACCTGAAAATAGGAGGAAGATCTTGGGACTTCAGTAGGATTAGATGGACGTTTAGGTGCCCCATTGTAAACTTTTGGTTTCTTGTCAGTATCTTTGTTCCCAGCCCGCGCTTCTTGCTTAGGATCACGAGCTGAAGGGGCCTCTGGAGGTAAGGCAACATGTAGCTCGTGGCGGTGTTTCTGATCTCGGTCAGTGAGGTTTCCAATTCCATTTTCATGATTGACGCTACTAATTACTTTGTCTCTTTCCCTTCTGTCTCTTTCCCTTTCTTGTCTTTCATTCCTTTTGGTTCTCCTGGGGCTGGGGAAAAAAAAACCAAAACAATCACCGCTAGACATAAGTTACTAGATATTTGGAATCAAGAAAACACTATTTTAAACACACGTTTACTCAAGAGAGATAATAAAACCATAAAAATAGCGGCAGAGTGCAAGAAAACATCGCAACAGTATTAGCCTACAGCTAAACCAATTTCTTACAGCGTCGATACTTCTATGACTTGCGAGTCTCAAGGACCTAATTCAAATGAAACTTGAGCATCTCATACAGATAGACAGACAGAGAGAGTAAGGTTACCTAGGTTCTCGATCGAACCTAGAATGGCGTCTCCTGGAATCGGAATCGCGACGCTCCCGACGAGACATCGGGCTCTGCTTTTGCTACAGCGTTTAGGGCTGAGCTTTCATCAGCTTCGTGAGTTCGTCTTCTACCTTTATCCGCGCGTCGGATCCTTCTGCTTCTGCCTCATAATTAATTACGAAAACAAAATCGCTAACTTTATCAAAAGCTTATTAAATCTCTACTATTAAAATTCTTTAGATTGTAGCTGACATTACTGTACTTCAGAGCGCTTTTTGCTTTTTCCCCGGTGGTGGCTGGTACTCCCAGTGCCCCTTTAATTCGCATGATTTTGATATAAATTGGGTCACCTTTCCATACATACGAAAACGTGAAGAACAAATTACGTTACTTAATACTATCTCTAATTTTTAATATAAAAATTGGTTTAAATTTTAATTTAGTTCTAAATATAAAGTTTTAATTTATTTTATTTTTTACATTTATTTATTTTTTTAAAGTAGTTATTACTGTAGTTATACATGTTAAATATTCAATCAAATAGTAATTCTAGCTAATATGTATGATTATCAAAAGTTTTATACAAAGACAACACATATTTATTATGAATAATTAACTTAAAAAATTTTCTTAATTTACTCAAATTAATCAACTAGCTCTTATATTACGAAGAAGAGATAGTAGCTTGTAAATTATATAATTTACTACAATTTTTTGGGCCAAACAAAGCACTAACTAATAACTACGAATTTTATATTACATATTATATATAGTTACATTAAAAATAGTAATGATTTATTATTATGTAAAATATTATAAATTAATTATTGTATATAGGTGGGAAAGTGCTCCCATTTGCCCTCACTACTCCCCATTCGCCCAATGCTCATCACCTGATAAGCAATCTGAACTATCCAGATTTGATATTATTAAATAATTATTTTAAAATAGAAAAAAATTATGTTTTTAAAGAATGATAGTTAAGAGATTATTTTTATTTTTTATCCTATACCTATTAAAATAATTATTTTTAAAAAATAAAAATGAAAATAAATCTGGACCGTCCATATCAGATTTGGACGATTCAGATCTGATGAGCATTGGGTGCCCATCAAAACTGATGGGCACCCAATGTAAATCCCTCACTGTTAAGAGGTATTAATTTCCACCGTGTAACATATTTTATTAAAAGAATTATATATGAGTCATTTATCAGGTTTAGTATAACCAATCAGAAATTACATTTAGTTTCTTTTATATAATATGAAACTAAATAGTACTTAATTCACTGCTTTCGTTTTTTTACAACGTATTGATAAATTGATTTATACTGACAGATGTTCAATTCTTACAATGATTTTAAAGAATTGTGAGTCAAAAGCTTAAACTTAAAAGAGTTTTGTCGTATTAATATTTTGAATTTTTGAATTATAACTTAGAATTGCCAAGTAACTGGATTGTGTAACTCCAAAAGGATTGCTCAAGAAGATACATATACGAGAGCTTTTCTGTTTTGCTTGGATCCCAAATTTCATAAACAAAATAGTTAATCGACTTGCATGAAACTTAATTTAGGTTGACTGGGAACAGAGGGAGTAATAAGATAAATTAATAAACTATCAAAGCCCTGCATTGAGTCCTCAGAAGCTGGAAGCAGCAATCTAGTTATCCTAAAGAAAAAACTCTTATTTGCACTAGTTGATTAAAGATAAGACATACCAAAGTGACACTAGCAAGTACTTCTTCAAAAGCAAATTAAATTCTATAAGATTACCAATGAAATTAAATAATCTAACAGGTCTAGATCCTGGCAGATATATGAGCCTCTAATGGGTTTTTCATGACCACAGTGAATTCTCGTTTCTCTGACAGATCAACATCCCCATTTGAAGCCTTCCACTCGAAGTTCCAAACCAAATTGGCTATGAAATACTCTAAATGAAGCATTGCCAAGTGATATCCTGGACACATTCTTCTTCCTACTCCAAATGGCATCATCTTTATCTCTTTGCTCCCTGTAATATCAAATGCTTCTTCGTCCCCTCCATTTTTCAAGAACCTCTCTGGCTTGAACTCCATTGGATCCTCCCACACCTCTGGGTCTCTTCCTATCTCTGCCACCATGAAGTTTATAGTTCCATTCTTAGGCACCAAGTAATTATTCAAAACAGTATCTTCTGAAACTGCATGTGGCAACAAAATATGCCCGGGTGGATGACGTCTCAGTCCTTCTAAAATCAGAGCTTTCAGATATGGCAATCTGTTCAAATCTTCTTCTCTAACTTCTTTGTCATCTCTGTCACCAATCACATCTCTTATTTCCCGGAACACTCTTTCTTGAATATGTGGATACTTCACCAAGTTTGCCAGAATCCATTGTAAACCAGTGGCTGTTGTGTCTGTTCCTCCGTCCAGAAACTCTGAGCATAGTGAAACGAGTTCGCCGTCGTTGAGGTGGCGTTTCTCCTCCGGCAACTGTAAATCCAACAGAGTATCCACATATGAAAATATAGCTTCCTCATCTTGATTCTTGTCTTCTTTGGCTTTGCTCAGCCTTTCTTCCCTGGCTTTCTTCCTTGATCTAATTAGTGGAAGCAACACGTCTTCCTTTTCCTTCCGAATTTGCAGAAACTCCTTCCACTTCTTGCGGAACAAAATTCGAGTGACTCTTGGCCAGAAATTTAACACGGCGAATTTGCTGAAACTCAAAAGTGAACGACGCTGAACATATTCGATATCCTTAATTTGCTTGTCGTCTAGCCTCTCGCCGAAGCACATGGAAACCAGCAAACAGAACATAGCATAATGGAGATGGTGAATCACCTTAACGGAACCGCTTGATTCTGAGTCAGACTTGAGGCGATTGAGAAGCACGTCCAGCACCCATTTACGGGCGCCCGAAAAGGACCTTATCCGGGTCGGGTGGAGCATCTCGGAAGCGAGGTTACGACGGAGGACCCTCCATGTGGGACCGTACAAACCGAAGCTGATGATATGCTGATTACTGCTGGTGATCTTAGTGGTCGCGGCGGCGGCAGGACGTGTAGAGAAGACGGCCCCGTTTTGAATGAGGGCTTGGTGGGCGAGGGATCGATCGGCGACGAAAATTGCAGGACGAGAGCCGATGGGGAGAGTGACGATGGGACCATACTTGGCATGAAGACGTCGAAGAATTGGAACAAGTTCAGTGATTGGATTGCGAAGCCAAATGGGACTGCCGATGATGGGAACACGGAGAGGGCCGGGAGGAAGAGGAGGGGATGAGTGAGAAGGACGGAGAAGGTTGAAGAAAGCTTTGATGAGAAAGGTGAGACAGAGGGAAACGAGGATGATGAACCAGGCCTCCATGATTAGGGGTGAGCAAGAGAGAGCGGCGAGCATTGAACAAAACGTGGAGAAAATAAGGGGACTATTTATACGGAAGGATAAGGTTACGTTTTTGAGGTGAAAATTCGAGTAGGATAAATCAGAAAGGTGAATCTACTGTGAGATATTCAGATCACAGAGAACTTGGAGAACAAGCCAGTCTGACTCTGACGTCGTCTTGTTACGTGACCGTAAGATTTGGCCTCTCCTATCACGTTCAGTTTTATGTTGGTTGAGAGATAATATATTTCCATCTGTTATTCTATATTTAATTTATTGATTATTTAAGAATTAAATTGATTCAATCAAAAATGGTATTTTTAATTGAAAAAAAAGATAAACAATATGGGGAAAACAGAATTCTTGCTATGATATGCATGCTTCACAATAATAAATACCCCTCTAGTCTTTAATATAAGACCCAATTTTTGAGTTAGTTTTGGTCCTAAATATAAGACATATTTATCATATTTATTAATTTTCTTTAAATTACCCGTGGAAATTTCTTCAATCATAATCATGCAGAAAAGGGAGATAGGGTATTAAAAAAGATATTATAGTGTTTTAGAAAAAAAATGTGTCACTTTTTTTAAAATTAACTAACTTACCTAACTTCTTTAATCTAATCAAATTAGTTAAATGAGTCTTATATTAAGAACCGAAAGAGTACTTATCTTTACAAAAATGGGTATGATGACATTAAGTTTTGAATGAGTTAAATTAAATTTTTTTTCACAATATAAAGAAAAAAAAAATCTAATAACCATCGTTCACGAGCCTCTGACAATATATATATATATATATATATATATTTATATTAACTTTCCCATCAAAACATGAGAAAACAGGATTCAAACAGAGCCAACAAATTACTGGATTTAGTTGAAACAAGTTAGGCCGCACGCTTGATCGAATGGACTATAATTTTCGTATCATCGAACTTGAAACGCACCGTTTTGAGACCCATAACCATGATAGGATAATGCGAACATGTGTGAACTTTTTTGTTTTTTAAAACCATCGAATTCTTGTTAAAAAGGGTGACCTTTCATGAACATGAAAATAGGTGTATGATTTTTGTATGTTTTTTCTTTGTTTTAACTCACACAAACATTAAAGAGTTTAAACTTACAATTTTATATTTAAGAAAGACTTAGAGGTGTTTGGTGTCATTGAATTACTAGTTTATGATGATTCTCTTTTGTTTTCTTAGGAGGTGTCTGGGAGCATATAAAAATATTTTTAAAAAAGTATTTTTTCTCAAAACGAGGCAAATTCTTTTATATATTTATTTCGTATGCAGTAAAAATACTTTTAAAACCATAGTTTGGTTTCCATTCAAAAACCTTCTTAATTATACCGATACATTTCAAAGAATACATACTTGAATTCTTGATAAAAAGGGGTAACCTTAACATAAACTTTGGAAATTATACTGCTTTCCAGAGAATATTTCAATGTTTAAGCTTAATCAAAATGACAGAATCAATAATAAGGTGCCACTGCTTTACCAGAAGAGATTTATCTAAATTCAAGTTATCACTTCTGATCCTTAATATAAGATATAGTTAATTAATTTAAGGAGATTAAGAAAGTTACTCTTTCGATCCTAAATGTAATAGCTTTTTTGTAATATAATTTGTACTGAAAAATAGGTTTTACATTTAAGACTAAGAAAGTACTAAATTACTTACTTGTAGCATATGTTATATCATCTCTTTAAAATATTTATATGTATCATTAGATTATCTGTCAATTTATAAGTGAGGTAAATTCATTCAAAGAAAAATAAGAAATATAAATGTTTTAAAGTAATTTAATAATATTCCTAATTAGTCAACGAGATTTTATATTAAGGATTAAGGCGTAAAGATAGGAATGGTAATTAGTGCCTGTGTGGGTTTAAATTGAAATGCAATTCCAAGTGCTTCGCAACTTTACGTCATTTTAGACATCTTTGCTTCTAAACATCGTTTTGCTTCAAGTTATGAGATAAGTCACCAATTCCATGGCTAGTATATGCTTTAAGTGTAATCCAGTCTTGTTGACAGCCTAAGAAATCTCCCCTACGTTGTCATCTTTTCCCATCTATGAACCTGAGTTATTGCTTGCCCAGCTGATAAACTGAAATAGATTCCAACGCAAAAAAAAAAAAAAAAAATCATGAATCTCCTTCTTCTGCTGAGTTTCATTCTTTTCCCAGGTTTGTCCTCCATTGAAACTCTGTCATGTCATGCTCTATACCACTACTGGTCGTTTGACAGTTTTGCCCCTCAATTTACAGTAACATATTTCAGGGCAGAGGGTATAACTGTATGCTCAACGTTGTGAAAAGAAACCACATACTCATTTTCAATATGATGTTATTAACATTCTTTAATGCAAAAGGTTAGTGATCCATCTGATTTAACTCATTGATACTCCTGCAGGGCTTGAAGCCAAATCTTTAACCTATGATTACTCCTCTAGCATTGAAGTAAGCTCTCTCTGCTATGATCTTTCTATGCCCATCATTGCTATACACACACAGACAAATTAATGCATAATGAAAAATATGCTCCAATTATGAGTTATCATGTCATAAACTTCAGTGTTTAGAGCACCCTCAAAAGCCCCAGTATGGTGGAGGAATCATCAAAAACCCAGAACTGAATAATGGACTAAAAAGTTGGACTGTGTTTGGGAGCGCGAGAATCGAACACAGAGAATTAAGAGGCAACCATTTTATTGTGTCCCATAGCAGAAATAATCCCTATGACAGTGCCTCCCAAAAGATTTTTCTGAGAAAGAATAGGCTCTACGCATTATCTGGTGAGTTGTCTCCACATCACTATTAAGAGACCATAAACTGTGCATATGACTTGCTTCTCTTTTCTGCATTCTTCTTCATATTTGACTATGGGTTTGTTTTATGCAGCATGGATACAAGTAAATGAGGGAGATGTAACAGTAAGAGTAGTTTTCAAAACACTCAATGGATTCAAACATGCTGGAGCCACAACTGCTAAATCAAATTGCTGGTCTATGCTTAAGGGTGGCTTCACAGCAGATTCATCAGGACCGGCTGAGCTCTATTTTGAGGTACTTCAATGGGGTTAATTTTTTAGTCTGATTGATTATTGCTTCATGGAAAGAAATAAAAAGAAGTATTTATTTTGGTTATCAACGGAGCCACAAGTATTCTTAGCTGTGCAAATGCTAAAATCTGCAGAGCAATAACACATCTGTGGAGATATGGGCAGATAGCATTTCCATACAGCCATTCACATACAAACAATGGAGGTCTCATCAGTATCAAAGTATTGAAAAGGTAAACTTTTCCCATATACATATCCACCATTCTGTAGAATTTGATAATAAATAGAAAGGTCTATATATAGCAGTGAAGTTCATGGTTTCCTGCCTTGTCAGACACGCAAGAAAAGAGTACTAGTCCAAGCAGTCGATGAACAAGGCAATTCACTGCCAAATGCAACCATTTCTATTGAACAGAAGATCCCAAATTTTCCATTTGGTAGTGCAATAAACAAAAACATCCTCAACAATGAAGCGTACCAGAATTGGTTCACTTCTCGATTCACAGTCGCCACATTTGAGAATGAAATGAAGTGGTACAGCACAGAACGCAACCAAGGACAAGAAGACTACTCAACAGCAGATTCCATGCTTAAGTTTGCCAAGCAGCACAATATTGCAGTTCGTGGCCACAATGTGTTTTGGGATAATGCTCGTTACCAACCTGGTTGGGTCCCTTCCCTGCCACCGGATCAGCTTAACTCAGCGGTTGAGAAGAGGCTAAGTTCAGTAGTGTCAAGGTACAAAGACCAACTTATTGCTTGGGATGTTGTCAATGAAAATATGCACTTCAGGTTCTTGGAAAGTAAATTAGGAAATAATGCTTCAGCTAGGATTTACAATGAGGTTCACAAGATTGATGGGGAAACCACTTTGTTTCTGAATGAGTTTAACACTATTGAGGATAGTAGAGATGGTTCATCAACCCCAGCAAAGTATATCAAAAAGATCAGGGAAATCCAAAGCTATAGTAACTATTGTGGATTCACAATTGGAATAGGGCTTGAGTCTCATTTCTCTACTCTGAACTTGCCTTACATGAGAGCTGCTATTGATACTCTTGCTGCCACTGGATTGCCAATTTGGCTCACAGAATTGGATGTTACAAGCCAACCCAAACAGGTAAAAAGATCCAACAACTAGATTAATTCCCCAAGTATATAACTTGCCTATTCATGTATTGTCGCCTAAAAATTGAAGCTTTCAAATGATAAGTGATCTAGAATTCAATCTATATCAGTCTTAAACTGCACTTTTTCCACACTTGAAGGCAAAAGGGCTTAGATTAGAAGGTAGTTCACTAAAGACTTGTTTCCATTTTGTTTTATGATATTGTTGTAGGCAGAGTATTTAGAGGAGATTCTGAGAGAGGCATACTCTCATCCAAAGGTAGAGGGAATTGTAATGTGGACAGGGTGGAGTCCACAAGGCTGTTATAGGATGTGTTTGACTGATAACAATTTCAAAAACTTGCCTACTGGGGATGTTGTGGATAAGCTTCTTCAAGAATGGAGGGCTTCAGAATTTGCAGCAGGGAAGACAGATCCTAATGGCTTCTTTGAAGCCTCCCTTTCACATGGTCATTACCAAGTCAAAGTTACTCATCCGGTTCTCAATAATTCCACTTCGGTTCAGCACTTAAAAGTCATGCCAGTTGCTGAATCCATGCATACGGCTAAGTTCAAACTTGCCGCTTAGTTTAGCATTTTTCTCACCAACATATGTCTAATATTGTTCTTGGTTAATATGTGTAAATTTGTAGACATGTTTGGTAACATATATCAAACTATGGATGGATAGATCAAATTAACGGTTGGTATGGAGTGACTGTATCTGGTGCATTTATTCCTTTCATTGCAGAGGCAATCTAATTGCTTATGTAATCTCAGGGGTACTGCATGCAAATTTATAGCTACGCGTTAAATATTTTTTATTTTAATAGACATAGATTCCATTTAAATATTTTTATGCTTTGCATAATTTTTTATTTTAATAGATATAGAATTTAAAATAAAGAGAATCTTATATAACTACAAATTTTTTTTTTAAAAAATTTATCATTATAAAAACTATAAATTGAAAAATTTAAATCTAAACTCTCTAAATAAGATTTTAGATTGTCCAGATTTCATAACAGTTATGAGTACATGGTGCCATCACTATGATGAACAAGAGGTGCAGAATGGAGATGTGATATCATCATTGGAACATCCTTAATATAAGGAAATCGCTGAGAAATGTTTAATTCAATTGGATCCCTAAAGAAGCTAATCTTGTTTCTGATTATATTGCCAAAACCTTTTTCAAATTAGCAATATTTCCTATGCACAAATTTTTAAAGATGAAATTGATGAGTATTAATTAAGGGCGTAGAGAAAAAATAATGAATTTTTAGACATTAAATAATAGAAATACTTATGGATCTCTTATTAAGAAGATCATCATACCGATAGCAAAATTTGAACCCATTATTTTATGTGGAAAATATAACTGTGTGGAAAATATAATGAAAGTCTTATAATGCACATCTTTAAAAGTGAAAAAAGAAAAAGACTGAATTTGAAATTGTGTGGAAAATATGATTGTGTGGAAAATAATGTCATAGATGAGGAATATACGCAATAAATGCGAAATTAGACTATTAAATTTCAGGTGAAACAATTAATGATGGCCTAAATAATATAGAAAAGTCCAACACAATATTTTCAATATATGATTGGCTTAATTATTTATGAGTATAAACGTCATAATTTCTTCAAACTTCAAAGCAAGATATATGTACACCTATATTTCTTGTCTTTAGAAAAAATTAAGATCCACCATTGATGCATGTTCATTTATAGTTAGTTTCTTCAAGGAAAGAGATAACTTTGTTCATTGCTGTTTCTTAATTGCATTGGCTTCTACTTCAGTACATTGATTTGGTATTCATATATATATATATATATATATACACACACACACACACACACACACCTGTGTGTGTATCTTTATACAAGGCTTCTGGTTTTGAATTGTTCACTCGAAATTCTCAAGCAGGACTAAAAAAAACTTGAGGCGATGGAGGGATGGCAAAAGATGAAAGAATTGCTTCTAATGTGTGCCTTCATCTTAGTTGGTTTGTTCCTCGGCTCCCTAGCTATATTATCATCATTCATCATTAACTTGTCTTGAGGCCTGTTGTTGTTTTCTTACCATGCATGTTAATGCTTGTTTATTTCAATATGTTAAACATGCCATTGAACATCTTAGAGTATCTTATACTACATCCAACATAATAAAATATTTTTCTAATTATATCGTGGTACATTCAATATTTTAAAGCATTTTGCAGATATATCTAGTATTCTAAATTTTTTTTGATGCATCTAATGTCTTAAATTGTTAAATGTAAAGCTGTACTAAAAAACATTTTAAAGTGATGGATGTGCATGAAAATCTTTTTCAGAACATTAAATACATTACAAAATACTTTAAGATATTGGATATATTTGGAAAAAAAAATATTTCTTCCCCCTAATAAAAAATACTTTTATGGATTGAAAAGTGTGTTCTTGACCTTTCCTAACATTCTTCTCCATCTGTCTTGTGGGTTTGCTCTAAATTATTATATTATTATTCTGTTCTTAAATCAAGCAAATGATATATTTATGTTTTTCTTACTTTATCTGAATAAAAAATCTATGAAAATGATCAATCTAATCATTCAATCTAATAATAATAACCGTATTAGGATATCTAATCCATCCAATAATGTCGTAATAAACCACAACTTATAAATTTTATTTTCATTAAATATAAATTTTAAATTAGGCTGTTTTTTTTTTATCTTTTGTGTTCTATTATTTTTTTATTAAATTTAATCTCATAATTTGAGACCTATAGTTTCTCAAATTCCATGCAAATTGTCCAGGCTCACTCCAAAAATGACCTAATTTATAGTCTACATATAAAATAAAAATTTTAATAAATTATATTGTTTATGATTCATAAATAATATTGCTCATTTTCCAAATTTTGTGCAATATACAAAACTCATACTATTTTCTTTTAATTGCACATAATGCTTTTCCAACCCCAATTACCCTCTGCAAGGGGGATTGAAATATTGAATCATGATCAGCTGGATCTTAAGCATTGTCAATAACATAAAGTGAATTTCATATTCGTGGGTAATTATTTGTTATCATAGGGATCTTGGGTCAAAATTTGGAAATAATATAATCAAGTTAACAATTAAATAGAAATTATTCCAAATGAGCATATAAATTTCTTTACTTTTTTGCTTTGTAGGTTTGGCAATGAATTCTTTGGCTTATGATTATTCGGCCTGCATTGAGGTAAGTCTAATTTAATTTCGTTATTTTAATTTTATGAAAGAAATCTAAGATTAAATCTTAGATTTCGCTCAAGAATATCTTTTTATATGCAAGCTAAGATTTATTAGATTTTTTTTTAAAAAAACATACATAGGCTTAGTTAAACACTTAAACTTATTAAATTTTGAGCAATTTATTACTTCCTGGTCCTATTTATAAGACAGAGAGAGAAGTTTTTTGTCTTATTTATAAGTCACCTCATTTAATTTTTAGCATAGTGTACTATTTTGTCGTTCATTTATTATAGTATAGATAATTATTTTTTAAAAAGTGTATCTATTAAATGGAGGTAAAATTAAAAAGTCGTGATATTTTGAGAGAGAGTTAATATAATTTAAGTTTTTTTTGTGTGAAACTGTGAAACATATTAGAAATACTATATATATAATCGAAGGAGTATAGTGGATCTTCATGGTTATTAATAAGATTGACTTTGATTTTCTTTTTGACCAATAGATGATTGACTTTCATTTGAAAGTGTCCGTTAGAACAGTTAGATTTTAGTTAGCTTTGATCTTATAAGGTTAGATTTACAAGTCTTCTCAAAACATGACATGTATTTAAAGTTGATTTTTGGAAAAATACAACGTTTAGTATCTAAACTTTCTCTAAATTGTCAGTTCAATATCTAAATTTTGATTTGAAATAATTTAGTCTTTATAGTACTTCGATTTAGAATAATTAAATCCTTATATTTTTTTACTTTGAAAAATCTAAATCCCTGTGATTTCATAAACTATGTCAATAATTAAGAGAGAATTTATGAACTAAAAGTTATATATCTTCCCTTAATTTTGAGGGTTCTCCGTTTCTGAGAAAAGCTTGATTACATTACTAGCACGAAAATGAAGGAGTTCATCGTAGATGTTAAGTATTATACATGTAGAAATTGCAATGTTAATGTTTAACTATGTTTATAATTAATATGTAAATTGACTGGCTAAATTGATGCAAAATCTTAATATTAGTCTTTCACTGATCCGTTAGGTTATAAGAGGTCAGTGCAATTGGAAAAGAGGACTGAAGACTCTCCATTTGTTTGGGTTTTCCATAGCTTTCTCGTTGTAAAAGAGGAAAAAAAAGAGTTGATTTTAAGCAGCAACCTTAAAGTTCATAAGCTTCTTGTGAATCCTAACTTATGAAACTCTTGCTAGTGCTTACCAAACCCCCAAGAACCTCAGTATGGTGGAGGAATCATCAGAAACCCTCAACTTGATGAAGGACTGCAAGGGTGGTCTCCACTTGGGGAAGCCAAAATTGATCACAGAGAATCCAGAGGCAATAAATACCTTGTGGCTCACAGCAGAAATCAACCCAATGACAGTGTTTCCCAGAAACTCTATCTAGAACAGGACAATCTCTACATAATCTCTGGTACCCCAATAACTCTTTCATTAATGCCCATTACTTTTTGTTGTCTTTTCTGGGTTTTTTGGTTCCTCTTTTTTTGCTTAACCACTTGTTTGTGTTAATTGCAGCTTGGCTACAAGTGAATGTTGATGATGATGTTCTGGTAACAGCAGTGTTCAAAACAGAAAATGGGTTGAAACATTCTGGTGCTGCCATTGTGAAGTCTAACTGTTGGTCCATGCTCAAGGGTGGTCTCACAGCGGAAGCATCAGGCCCTGCTGAACTATATTTTGAGGTGTTTTTTTTTTTTTGGGAACTATTATCTGCTATTGCAACTGTTTCTGCGTAAGGAGTTTTTTGGGCCCAGAAACTGTTTGATAAAATGTTTGTTAATGGTGATGAACTCCATTTTCCACCATGTTCACCTTTTTCTTTTTCCTTAAGTTGGGTTTTCATTTCCTCCTTCTTTGATGATTAATGGAGGCTGAACTTGTGCAGAGCAACAATACATCTGTAGAAATATGGGTTGACAGTGTCTCATTACAACCATTCACCAAAGAGCAATGGAAGTCTCACCAATATCAGAGCATGGAGCAGGTAAATTTCAAATACTAATATTCAGGCGCTTTCTGCTTGTCCCATTTTGTTTGCATTAGCCTTTATTATGAAATTCAGTTTACCAAAGATGGTGTCACCATCAATTCGGTATTTAATAACTCATTCTCTCTATCCACCATGTCATGGCATATTAGTACCCTGAAAGCATGAAACTAAAAGTGGTACTCTCTGTCTCAAGTAATGAAGTGATGCAAAAGTTCTACTATTTAGAGTTCTTTATATTACAATATTACATATAACGTATTCAGATAGAGTTAGAGAGAAATGTGATGATCAGTATGAAGTACTGTAGGCTTAAATTCTTAGCGATATCATCTTCTCAAGGAGCTTTACCCTCTCTTTTCCAGACCCGTAAAAGAAAGGTGCAATTGCAAGCAGTTAACGAACAAGGAAAACCATTAGCAAACTCCGAGATAAACATCAAACAGAAGTCATCGAGCATCCCAGTTGGTTGTACCATAAACCCAAATATCCTCACCAACCTTGCCTATCAAAACTGGTACCTTCCAAGGTTCAAATACGCCACCTTAGAAGACCAAATGAAATGGTACGTGAACGAGCCAGTACAGGGAAAAGAGGATTATTCAGATGCTGATGCCTTGATTCAGTTTGCACAACAACATGGGATCTCAGTTCGTGGCCATAACGTTCACTGGGACAACCCTTCTCTCCAACCTAATTGGGTCCATTCACTCTCTCCAACACAACTTAGTGAAGCAGTGGCAAGAAGGCAGAGATCAATCATGACAAGGTACAAGAACAAGGTGATTTCTTGGGATGTTGTGAACGAAAATGTTCACTTTTCTTTCTTTGAAAGCATACTTGGGGGTAATGCGTCAGCCAATATTTATAAAGTTGCTCATGATCTTGACCCAATGGCGATACCGTTCATGAACGATTTTGGTACCATTGAGGATACAAAAGATATGGTAGCAACACCAGTAAAGTACATTCAGAGGCTTAAAGAGATACAAAGCTTCCCAGGTTACAGCGGATGGCCTATTGGAATAGGACTTGAGGGCCATTTCAGTAATCTTGACATGGCTTACATGAGAGCTTCCCTTGACATGCTAGGTGCCTCAGGGATGCCTATTTGGCTCACAGAAGTGGATGTTAATAGCCAACCCAACCAGGTATAAAGCTCAATAAGGCCAATCACAATGTCTGCTATTATTAGGGTATATATTTCCCTGAGAATATGGACATGAATCAAATATAGTTCCCAAATAAGCTTGTTTGGATTAATGTTGGGAAAAGTGACTTTTATTCTAAAACTTCTACAAACTGTAGTTGGGCTAAAATTTAGTTAGTGTAATGTGATTTGTGATTTATGTTCAGATTAGCTTTCAAAAAAAGAAACAATCAGTTTAACAGAAACTTGTTTGGATGATATATTTGAAAAGTCAATTTCAAAAGATCTAAATTTGAAGAAAAGCTAATGGTTAGAAAAAGTTATTTTAACTTTAAAGTGGCTTTTAAACAAAGTATCAGTTCCCCCATAAACTATGCCAAACAAACTTTTTTTTTTCATCCGACTAGCATTTTTTGGTCCCAATTGACTTCTGAGGCTTTCTAATGCTATGCCAAACGCACACTAAGTGTTCCCCCCCCCCCCCCCGATGAATATTTGATCAGGCTCAGTTCCTTGATGAGATTCTGAGGGAGGCTTTATCTCATCCAAAGGTTCAAGGGATCATAATATGGGCAGCATGGAAGCCTGAGGGATGTTACAGAATGTGCTTAACAGATAACAATTTCAAGAACTTGCCCACAGGAGATGTGGTGGATAAGATTCTCAAAGAGATTGGCTCAAACAGGCTAAGAGGCAAAACAGATGCCAATGGGTTATATGAAGCCTCCCTCTTCCATGGAGATTATGAAGTGGAAATCACTCACTCAAGCTTGCCTAATTCCACCATTGCTCACCATTTCAGGGTCGTCCCAAATGATGACCTTAACATCACTAAGATGCTTCTAAAAGCTGATATGTAATGTAATCTACCTTTAGCTCTGAGTGACATGGCATATTGTTGCATATATAATTAATAAGCTCTGTAAAGTTATATCATATCAATAATCAATGATGGCTTCTAAGGTTGTAAGCTCCAAACTGAACAATTTAAGGGTGGTCTTGATTCTTTAGTGCTTAATATTGTGATAAAGATGGAGTGTGAGTAAAGATTAAAGACTCAAACCCTCTTAAAATAACAATATATAGATAGACAGATATATAAAAATTGATCATCTAATGTGGAATAATTACAAAATTACAATATAAATTGACCACCAATGTATTTGTACAAAATCTTAGATGAACCACATTATTCATAGTTTAGGAATAATATAATTGTTAAAAAGTCTTAATTTTATATGAATTATTGAATTGTTATTGATGATTATTGATGTATTTTAAATACAACAAAATCTGTTTTCACTTTTGATAAAAGTGGGTAGTTGAAAAAATGATCCAAAATCCAAACACCACAACTAAGTGGGAGAGTGAAGCTTATATAAAATGAGAGCTTTCTCATTCATAATCTTTTAGAGCTGCATACCGCAGTTTCTTTGCCCTTTCCTCTTCCAAATTCTTTAATCAAAGCAATATTATTAATTTATTATTGGAAAGTATCTGGAGACTTTCTCTTTATTACTATTTTTTTCCCCAAAAGATTCAAGATGGCATGGTGCACTAAAGATTTGATCTTAAATTATTATCACAAAGAATAAACCCAAATTATCAGCCAAAAAGTACATTATCTTTGCATTAGAATAAGAGTATATATAATCCCATGCTTCCAAATAAATAAAACAAAAGGATACATGGCTAATAATTAAAGGGAATCCTCGCTGTCAGTAAGAAATGACAACAGTTTTGTACTGCTCATTTGTATTTGAGACTTTTTAATAATTAAATCATTTTTTTGAAATTTTATAATAAATCTCCTTTTTTTGCTTCAAAAGAAAAATCAAATCCCACTAGTGCACGCCAATCCTTTAGTTTTCATCACTAAATTGTTCACGAGGAGACAAAGCGTGAGTGAGTGATTAATAACTCAAAACCCACTAATGCATTCCACTTTGATCCGTTGTTTCACTAACCAAAGCATTATTCGTTGATAGTGACACACGTCACGTTCCAAGGAGAATGAAGATAAAAATGTGAGCAATAAGTTATACTATTAGACAATTTGTGATAATTTAAATGGCTATAAATTTTAAAATTTATATTAATATTAATTCTTTAAAAACTTGATTTTTATCTTACTTTTTGTGCTCTGTTCATTTTTGTTTAACATTGTCCGTTTTTAAATGAAAATAAAGAGATGTATGGTCAAATCAGATTTTCCTGCAAATGAATGGATATATAACATTTAGTACAAATTAATATATATTCCTCTTCATTGTTGAAATGAATATTGAAGGTAAATAATAAGTGGTATATTGAAAAGTTATCAAAAAGGATCAATAAGTCACTCCAGTATGTTCTGCATAAAAAATCTGAGTTATGAGTCAACAAGATGAAAATTAGTCCCATTTCTAGTTTTATCTGGGTTTTCACTAATGTCGTTTTAACTGTAATAGCAAGAGATAAATATGTGGGGGGGGGGGGAAGAGAGAAAGGGGAAATTAATCTCAAAATATGGTGAAATTATGTCACTAAAAGTTTTAATTTTCTCTTTCTTCTGAATTATGAATATGAAATCACAAATTTCTGTGTTCATCAGTTGCAATACGGTGTCATCAGCTCTGTCTTGAGTTTGAATGTTTCATACATAAACCATCATTTGGAAGAACCGGTACTTGCTTCAACATAAATTAACTTGTTATTACAAAAATTAAAACTTGATTCTTATTAATTTTTGTTTAAGATGGTCCTTTTTAAAAGGTAAATTAATAAAGAGACATATGGTCAACTGGGATTTCCTTCAAATGAATGGATATTAAATATGGTACTGCACATATTAATAAATATTCATTTTTCGTTGTTTAAATGAATATTGAAGGTAGATAATTAAATTTGAACACGAAATAAGTGGGACCTTTCTCTTTATTATTTCCCAATGATCATATTAACTCCACTTAATTAATGCATGATGTCATTTCAAATCATGCAACTTTCTTTCAGTCTTTCTTTCTTTTAAGATGTTAGCTGGAGCAGAATTTAAGGTGAATCATCCTCTCCAGTCTCCCCTACCCCTCCTCCTCTACTTTTTTTTTTTTTTTTAATTTCCTTTCACCATATCATTAGATCAAATTAACATAAATGGGAATTTTTTTTCCCACACATAAATATGGCTAACATCTTAGAGACTTGGACTGCAAATTTATTCAAAACTATAAATTAATTATGAGATTGTACTATGAATTTATTTCTTATAAGTTTATTGTATTATGAGATTGTACTACTCGACGACATTAAAGATGCTATATGTAAGAGTGTGTGTGTGTGTGTTTGTATATTCATGTATTTAGGGAAAATAAGCATAAAAGATTGTATCTATCTCCAAGTAACATCTCATCATAACATTGATTTGTTCTCTTTCTTCTTTAGACTTTTCTCTTTATTTTTCCTATACATATATACTCATTTTTATCATTTAAATGACCAAAGTAGATTGGAATATTGGCATTTCATGGTAGCGCTTAAATTTTTTTTCGATAAAAATATATTTACGATACTTCAAATTCTAATACTATTAATCTCAAATGATTATTTTGTTTTCTAATCATTGTTATTTTTTAAAAATTCTACTTAATATGTTAATATTTAAGAAATTTGGTCAATAATTAAAATGTTAATGGCGACGTTTTTTTGGTTAATCCAATTAAAAGTACTAAGATTAATAAACTGAAAAAACACATTATAAAATTAAGAGAAAAAATTTTATACAAAATTAAAAGACTAAAAATGCTTTTTGTATTTTTTTTTTTCTTATATAGATTTAGAAGTAAATAGGCAAAACATGATATTTAAAGATATGATCATTATGATTCACTAATTCATATAAAGCAACTATACCTTCTATTTTAATGATATCAACTTTGTTTCTTTCCTTTTCTGGTTGCAACTAGGTGTTATAAAATTATATATGCGCATAGTCCTGCACCAACATAATTGATTTAAGAAGCACTTCATAGTTCACACTTCACACTTTCTCTCTCTCTCTCTCTCTCTCTCTCTCTCTCTCTCTCTCTCTCTCTCTCACATATTCTCATTGGTGCTTTATAATCAAATATGGTGCATTGAACACATATTAAGGTGGTTCACGAGACAACATTGGAATCCATTTCTCAAGGTGCCCTCACATTGCTTATGATCGTTTCTTTGTTTGTTTCTGACTTCCCCTTCTCTTCCTCTCTGTCTCCAACTTTCTGAGTTGCCTTTCATCTCTCCCATACCTTAAAAGGTCATTATAACGTTTCATTTTCCTAAACCATTCCCACAAATCATGCATCAACTCTCTTACTATTTTCGAAGCCACTAATTACGTTAGATTTTACATTATCTTAATTAAAGGAGAAGTTATCATGTATATCATCCAATCAAAACCTGTTTAATTACCATGATTATATTTCCTCTCTATTTAAATTAGGGGGGGAAATGACTTATTCGTTTAAGACAAAATTGCATATTTTAGAGGACAATGTCGATGCACAATGCGCTATGAATGCCAAGTTGTTCTCCTCAAATTTAATATCTAATTTATGATATGACAAGGGAATATTGAGTTTAAGATTTTATTACTAAGCTTACACGTGGGGACAAAGATTAGGGTGAAAGATTATTACAACCCTCGTGTCTTTAACATAATACTACTTCCGGTTCTAATTATAAGAGTTAGTTGACTAATATGAGTAGATTAAGAAAAGAAGTTAAGTTAGTTATTTGTAACAATAGTTGTTGTCTTTCATAAAATATTTTTACTAATCAAGTATATTGGTTAGAACTACCATTATTAGAAGGATTAGAACTACCATTGTCAGAATGATTATTTTAGAAAAAAATACATAAATATGAGAGATAAAGTAGATTGGAGTCTTATATTTAGGATCAAAATAAAAGTCAAATAAGGTTTTATATTAAAGACGGGAGGTAGTATAAGACCCAATTCATTATTTTGGAGAGATTAAAAAAATTATTTTAAAGTATTTATATTTATTGTTTTTTTTCAAACTAATTTGTCTCAATTATAAATTGATAAATAATATAATGATATATGTAAGTATTTTATAGAGATCATATATAGTATATGATATAATTAAGTACTCTTCAAATCCTAAATATAAAACCCTTATACACATGTATAAGGGTCTTATATTTAGGATTGGAGGAATATTTTTTTAAGTGAGAAAACACCAACTTTGTCTGTCAGTGCTATAAATGCAGTTACCGTAGGTCTCATAGTCATCCTCGTTAATAGCATCTGATGCCAAACACAGCGTCTAATCTCACTGTCATTAGCATAAAATTCAGAGGAGGTTTGCCGGACTGTTAGAGAGATGAAGATGAAAGTTGAACAACCAGGAGCCTGCACCTTATTGCTTGCCACACTTCTTCTGCTCATTTCAGGTCTCTCTCCCCCCCCCCCCCCGGCCCTCCGTGTTGAACTCACTACAACAATTTTAACTTACATATCTGCTAAACACATGCAGGTCTCAGAGTTCGTGCTATCCCTTATGATCATTCTGTAACAACGGAGGCAAGACACATTCTCATGAGAATCTATACGCATTATTATCCTGCAAAAATAGAATATCTGTGAAGTATATAGTTTCATTTTGTTCTATGTTTATTGTGCAGTGCTTGGTGGAGCCGCAAAGAGCCCGGTATGAGGGAGGCATTGTAGTGAATCCAGGATTTGATCAAAACCTAAGAGGTTGGACAGTTAATGGGAAAGGAGTTGTTGAAGAAAGAATATCAAAGGAAGGAAATAGGTTCGTTGTTGCTAGGAACAGGACTCACCCATTAGATAGTTTCTCACAGAGAATCCGACTTGAGAAAGGAAAGCTATACAGCTTTTCTGGTAACTTCTTTACATGTTTCTGTTCTATCAAATTTTGAGGACATTGATCAACAGGTAGTATTTGTTTTTGTTAATACATAGTAACATTTTTTTGTTTTTTTATTTCTTGTTCCTTGTTCATATTCAGCTTGGGTTCAGCTCAGTGAAGGAACAGAGATTGTGTCAGTTGTCATTAGAACTAACAGAAGTGAACTGGTACGAGGTGGTCATGTGATAGCACAACATGGATGCTGGACTCTGCTAAAAGGTGGCATAGTTGCAAATTTGCCAAGCTCTGCTGAGATTCTTTTCGAGGTAAAGTGCAATATGTTTCATAATCAATAACAGAATATATAACTGCAGCGAATCTTTCTGAATCTTATGAACGAATGTTTCATAGTTTTGTATGGCTAGTTGAAATGTTCATCATTTTCTGTTTCTCTAGAGTATGCTGATAGTTACATGTGTTTATGTTGGGATTTTTCAGTTTCTTCTTTGAAAAATCATGAAAAGTTATTTTGGGTACAGAAGCCTTATAAATTCACAAAAGATCTATAAACAGAGGAACACAATATGACCAGATTTTTTTGGACAATATTGCAGAGCCAGAACACGGAAGTGGAATTATGGGTTGACAGTGTCTCATTACAACCATTCACCAAAACAGAATGGAGGTCACACCAAGACTACAACATTGAGAGGGTAACCAACTAGCACATAAATTTCTCAGCAAACATTCAAATGTAATCTTTAGAAGACTAGAAAGAAATATTTGATTTCTATTGAACAAGACTGAGAAATACCATGAATTTGTCCAAAAAATCTCGCTTTTCAAACCTGCAGGTTCGTAAGAGAAACGTGAGATTTCAGATACTGCACACCAATGAAACAACATTGGAAGGAACTACAGTGCTAATCAATCAAATAAGATCAGGTTTCCCATTTGGTTGTTGTATAAACCACAATATTCTCACAAGCAAAGACTACCAAACCTGGTTCGCATCAAGGTTCAAATACACAACTTTCACCAACGAGATGAAATGGTACAGTACAGAAATAAAGCAAGGCGAAGAAAACTACACTATTGCAGATGCCATGTTAGCGTTCACCAAGCAGCACAACATTGCTGTGAGAGGCCACAATATTTTCTGGAACAACCCAACACAACAGCCTCAATGGGTCAAATCTCTATCTTCGGAGGAATTGCAGAAAGCAGCAGAGAAAAGATTGAATTCTGTGGTTTCAAGATACAAAGGGGAGCTCATTGCTTGGGATGTGGTCAATGAGAATCTCCACTTCAGCTTTTTTGAGGATAAACTGGGCAGAAATGCTTCTGCAGAATATTATTCCAAGGCTTACAAGCTTGACCAAAAGCCAATCATGTTCATGAATGAGTACAATGCTATAGAGTACAGCGGGGATAAAGCAGTGATCCCAGATAAATACAAGAAGAAACTTGAGGAGATTCTGTCATATCCTGGAAGCGAAGGAATATCAGTAGGAATAGGATTGCAAGGTCATTTTGTTTCAGGCCAACCAAACCTTGCTTACATGAGATGTGTTCTAGATTCTCTAGCCACAACTAAACTACCCATATGGCTCACTGAAGTCAGTGTAGATAAAGGCCCGAACCAGGTTTTTCCCCTTACTACAAACTATCACTGTTTTACATGCATGACACTGATAATAATCTAGGATCTTACCAGCTTATGACTAAAATTTCTGACTTCATGTTGAATAGGCAGATCATGTGGAGGAGATACTAAGAGAGGCTTATGCACATCCTGCAGTCGAAGGGATCATAACTTTCTCTGGTCCAGCTATAGCTGGTTTCAAAGACATGCAACTTGTGGATGAAAATTTCCACAATACTCCAGTTGGTGATGTCGTGGACAAGCTTTTGAATGAGTGGAAGTCTGGGTCTGTGCAAGCCAAAGCAGATAGCAGAGGATTTGTGGATGTTTCGCTGTTCCATGGAGATTATGATGTTACTGTCATACACCCAGTGATCAAATCCTCCAAAACACTGAATCTTAGTGTAAAGAAACAGGCTCCACAGGAAATTGTTCAAATTCATATATAGAGAAATACAAAAGCATTAAGAAAATGAATAGTCTACCCTCTTTGTTCAAATGCAATGGAGGTTTAATATCTAATGATAATGATTGATAGTTGAGGTTTGGGCTTTCCTTAAAAGACTAGTCTTTTGACATGGGTTGTCAATTTCATATACAACTATCAAGGTTAAGGAGTTACTTGATGCCCAAGAAAGAAAGGAATGAGAAATATAATGAAATGAAAAATATGATTTCAGATATGAAAAATGACTCTCCAGTCTCTAATCGAAAAACAAATAATGACAAAAACATATGATACTGATGAATAATAACAACAAGGACCATACTAAATATTAGATAGCGAGTTCTTAGTATATTTGAAATAGGTTTTGTCTTATTTAAACATATCAAACATAATTCTACTTTAAACATATTATAAAGTTTTCTCTTTATGGACAAGACATACATTTCACCCATTTGGACTAATACAATATATAAGCTTAGATCGCTTGCCCAACAAGCGTATAGTAGTAAGAACTTGGATATTAGGATCCTTCACAAATCATCAATAGAGCATAGGGATTGTTTGCTCTGATTTGATTTGGTTCACAAACCACCGATAGGGTATATGGATTGTTTGCTTTAATTTAATTTGGTTCTATTGTCCAGTTGTTTTTGCACAGTTTTATCCTGCGACCATGTACTCCCAAAAAAAAAAAAAAAGTAAGCCCAGAAGCAGCAAGTTCCCATCAATCACTTAAGAATCTCCTCCTCCTGTTTCCATTTGGAAACTGTAGACATGGAGAAAGAATTCTGTGTTTGATGCTGATTTTCAAAAACCTTATAGGCCAGCTACTATTATTTTGCATATTTGGAAAAGGTCTGTACAGGTGAATGATATTGACTTTGCTAAGAAATTATCTCAGCCTAAACATTTATCAGTATGGCACCCGGGCTTCTGATTGGGTAAAATTGCATGTGGATGGAGCTATGAGTTCATCTAACAATAAAGCAGGATATGGTGGGGTTATAAGAGATCTTACTAGATGTGGGATAGCTGGTTTTACCCATGCACTAGGAAACTGTAGTGCATTTGAAGCTGAGGAATGACCTATCTTCAAAGATCTTGAATTAGCCTCGGATTTTGGACCCAGAAACGTTATTCTTCAATTTGATGCTAAGATCCTGATTGATAGGAACCACCTAGCTTACGTTTTAGCAAAGGATGGTCTAACAAAATTCCCCTTGTTGGATATGTGTCCGTCTCACCTTTGAACCTTGGTTGATAAAGACTGCAAGGGATTCAATCCCCCTGGTATAATTATTTTTTATTGTTAGGGTCATAGTCCCTGATTGTAAAATTACATTTAGAGACTTTTTAGCTTTTAAATAATTAAGGTTAAAATAAATTATTGTAAAACTAGGGAGATTTATATAATTAAAAGTCCTAAACTTTGAACTTTCCTATGAAAAAAGATAGGGTAAAAGGGCAGCCAGCACCCCAATCTTTTTTTTCAGGAGCGCCCACCACCCCAATCTCTTTTTCAGTGTAATTTTACCCGCCATCTTTTTTTTTAGTGCAATTTAACCCAATTCCAACAGACCCCCTAATGTCTGTTAAGAAAATTTTTTTTTAATAGGTCTACATCAACACGGCTAAGAGGATGAAAATTGACAGACAATACAAAGAAGGGAAAAAAAAACAAACCGAGCTCGAGTGCCTACTCTATAAGCACTGGAACCCTGTTTGTTTGTGCGATTGGGAATACTAGCATTTGGTGAAGGAGAAGGTATTGTGATTATAATTAATGAAGAGTCTCTCTATTTCCACTATAGTATGGGAATTGAGAGTGTGGTTGACGAGAATGAAGGAAAAACATCCGGTATTACGCAAGATGTTACCTATCAAGCCTGAGAGATTCTTCGGGTTTAATTCACTGAATATACTGATATAAATAGTTTAATATTTTGACCTTTGCAGTAGCATCCTCGATTGCAGTAGTATCCTCTTTGTGTGCTATTATATAGTCTATTTGAGGTTTAGTGAGGCAAGTCGGCGTAGAGACCGAGTATGAAGGTCGAAGATGGTATTGTTTCTGTGGCTTATTGACTCCTCGATGGACGGCTTGGAGTGAAAAGAACCCAGGTAGAAGGTTTTATGAGTGCCGCAATTACAATCAAGTATGTGATTATTGTTTGGCTATGAATTTGGTTCTGTAAGATCAAATGTCATTCTCGAATATGTACTCGAGAAGGCCAAAGACCAGTTCTCGAATATGTATTCGAGAAGACCAGTTTCTAATATATATTCAAGAATTGGAGCCCATTCTCGATGTTTAGCTAACCAGGTCCAATACTTGCTAAGGTCGATTTTACCTTAGTAATAGAGATTTTTTATTCACCGCCTTCCTCGCGACCTTTGCTGCTGAAATTTGCAATTCTTTTAGGGTTCCAATGCTTACAAAGTCAAATTACTCCTCTAAAACAAAAGAGACGGAGTATGAAGGAAAACGAAAATAAAAATTCAAAGTAAGGTTGTTGTCTTTTCAAATCAAGACAACTTTTCTTGCACAATTTGTTGCCTTCTCCTTCACCAGATACTAATGTTCCCAATCGCACAAACAGGTGGGGTTCTATGCTTACAGAGTGGGCGCATGAGCTCGATTTGTTTTTTCCCTTCTTTGTATTATTTGTTAATTTTAATCCTCTTAAAAGTGCTGATGTGGACTTATTAAAAAAAAAATTTAACAGACATTGGGAGGTTCGTTGGAATTGGGTTAAATTGCACTAAAAAAAAATAGATGGTAGGTAAAATTGTGCTAAAACAAAGATTAGGGTGGGAGGTGTTCCTGAAAAAAAAAAAAGATTGGGGTGCTGGATGTTTTTTTACTCAAAAAAAAAATAATAGAAATGATGGAGCACGATTCCTCCTGGTCCTCTTCATCAAGTGATGACTTGTGACCATTAGTACTTTTACGAGGAAACCCATATTTTAATGAAGCACTCCTTTTTTTCCTTTTAGCTGAGATCCCAGTCCTATTATCATCGCACATAACAGTCCATTTCCAAATTTCTCTTTTGAATACAATCTCACAATGAAGGCTCTCCAAATTCATATAAGACAAGTTTTGATAAAATCCTCGTCGCAATTCCAACATCTCTTATATACAGAATTTACCCCCAACAATGTGGATTTAGTGATTAAAAAAAAAAGAAAGCACAATATCTCAAACCCAGGTTGGTCAATGGTATGCGGTATAAAATAAATTGCTATGAAAAAAGTTAAAAAGGACTCGCATAGATATTGAAGTTTATTTATTATGTAAAATTCAAAAAAAAAATTCAGAGAAACTAAATTAATCTAGATGTGTCATTATGGGAAAAAAAAAAAAAGGAAAATCATGTGACATTATGGCCTTAAAAAGGCAGCAGGCTTGTCAATTTGTGATTAGCTCATGGTGGGCAAAATGGCAGTATTAGTTTAAGCGATGGAATGCAAGGAGCGGATTGAAGGATGTGAGCAGAGAGTCAGTTGCCTCTTTAATTTCATTTTCTTTTGTGAGATTATTCGTACTCATTTTCATTCCAAAAGAGAGAGAGAGAGAAAGAAAGAAGCAGAAAAGTGGATCAGAGTTCATGAATTGAACAGCCAAGAACATGACATGGATCTGCATCACAAAGGAAGACGATGGAAGCAGAGTCTAGAAGTCAAACTCGAACTCGAACTGTGCGAAACGGGAGAGAACAGTAGAGATGACATACATTAGCCCACTTCTCAAATCCTCAAAAATCTCAGAAAAACGCATCTCTTGCAGATGCCACAGCGTTGAAACAGAGAACCAGACCCCATCAATTATGACTCTCAACAGACCCATAATTTCCCTGCCTCCGTTTGCTCGTCCAAGTTTCAAGTCTGAATCTCAGCTCACCTCCTCATGAATGCCAAATGAAGAAGAAGAAGAAGAAGCTGAAGCAGAGACGTTGAAGGAAAGAGCATCAAAGCAGAGTGAAAGTGGGTGAGCGATCCATGGTGCAATTGTGTGCGTTTGATCCTGATTGTCAAACTGGATGTTCTTCTCAAGCACGAAACTATGAGTGCATCTTTTAATTACTCCCCCTCTCTGAAGAACCTTGTCCTTGTCTGCATTAATTAATATAAATTCCAAATCAAGATTTAAATCATTGTACTTTTATATAATTTTCCAGCTACCTATCATCTGACTAACCGAGCTAGATTTGAATATTGTCAAATCCAATTGGAAGTACTTCTAAGTTTTAAAGACCTCTTTTTTTTCCACATTGATACAGATTTGAACTCAAAACATTATGCTTAGACGATCAAAATCAGTTTTTACCTTTTTCTTTTAATGTTAGTTAAGTTTATTTTTAATTTTTTTAATGACAGTATTTTGATTTCGTCCTAATATTCTATTTCGTGGAACATTATTTTATTTAGATTGGAGGAAAATAACTTGCATTACGTCAGGAGTAAAACACGAGAAAAAGGTAAAATTAAAATACATAAATAAATAAGCAATAAATACTTATGCAGCATGATACGCGCACATGCAAGGGGATATAATAATCGATTGTGCTTATCATATGTTCGTTTTCGCTCTTTTTTATTAGTTTTTGGTCTCTTCCCGATCATTTTGGTTTTCAAATCAAAGTCACCCACCTAAATTTTTAATATAATGATTATGATTAATTTAATATCAATAATTAGACATTTAAATATATCAGTTATCAGATTTGGCGTTTCGCCTGTCACGATAACTGGATAAATAGGTGGTCACATGGCATTCTTAATTAATGACGGAAAAAAGGGTGAAGAATGCAAATGCAATTTGAAATGATGGAAGCAACCTCGAATTTAAGGTTTAAGAAGTTCTTTGTTCTTGCTCAAGAATAATAAATATTAATGAATTTATTGTCTTGTTTCCCCAAACAAAGAAAAAATAACCATATTTTCCAGGCTACATCAATTGTCTTTTGTGGAAAACTAAGCCAATATGGTGGTGTTTTGAAATTCAGCTGGAAAAGTCCATATAATCTACCAACAGCCAAATAATATCTCATCTGTGCTGCAAGCAAGCTAGTATACTAAATGATCACAACTTCTCTTGCAAATCATCCGGTACTTAAAGGCACATTGGATTCTAACTAACCTGAATTCAAGTAGGGTCAAGCCCCAAATTGGGAGTAGCCCTTCCAAAAATATTTTATGCACTCATATGGACTTAAACTTGAGACATCGTACTAACATGGCCATAGCCTCTTTTGCTACCTATTGTCTAAATGATAATAACTTTATCCCATTGAAAAGCCATTTAATAGGGGATCCAATTACATGCACGACTAAATTGTGAGACATTGGCTTCGAATGACCAAACTGATAGGAAATGGATCTCCGGGGAACTTAATAATTTATTAAACTACTCATCAAGTTATCATACCCCTAATAGCAGAAAAAGCAGTAGACTAAGCACCCTCAAGCACCAGAGTATTCCAAGTGCTATAAGCACAGAGATACAAAAAACTTTCCATCTCATTTCCAAGTAGCAGAAGAGTTGCTTGATTAACAGCCTCATGCAACCACTAGCATACAACTTCTCTCTTTTCTCGTGGCATCATAAAGTTGAAACCAATGCCTATTTTAGCATTCTACTGTCAAACTTACTTCTAATGGCCTCCCAAAAGGCTGGTATTGCTATGTCGTCAGGCACTTCCTTAAATGATGGGAGATAGTTTACATCCACAATCACATGGTCATGAGTTCCTTCCTGAATAACAACATCAAATCCAAAGATTGTAAGTTGAAGCCTTTTCCTGAGCCAATTTGCAGCATCTGTGACGAGTTTCAGGTCAATGGATTCATTAGTTCCTGTGGGGTGGTCACTAACTGCAGAATTATGGATATTATCAGCAGTAGGGAGTGACTTTAAGCTGTCAAACTCAAGAGGTTTAGGGTCACAGCCATCAAATGATTTCATGAGGATATTGGCATTTGGTATTGACTTCTTGACAGCACAGAAAATTTTCTCACCCAACACGTAGAATTTGTACAAAGTCGATGAATGATCTACATATTCCTGGATAATTGCCGGCAGGGGAACACTTAAATTCTTTAAATCATCAGCCCTGAAAATAATTGCCATCTTATGTGCATCACCAACACCACAAGCAACTTTTGGTTTCACAATGCATGGTAGAGACAAGTTAGCTTTTCCCAACCCAGTTACAAAATTAAGGCTGTCAAAATTATCAACCTTAAGAAAATAAGCCCCTCTGATCATATAGCTGCTTTCCGTCTTGAGTTCTACCAAGCCAAGTAAAATTTTCTGCATTTCTAACCGATCCAATAATGGGTATATGTTAATCAGTGGGTCAAGCACACAGCAATCCTGGTTATGCTCAAAATATTTTTGTAATTCTCGCATGCTTTGGGTAAAATTGATGTTTTCATCTTTAATAGACAATATTTCGTCAGTGGCCTTATGGAGAACTATGTCAACTTCCTTTAACTGGGATGATAAAGGTAGATCAGATACGAGAGGCATAAACATCAACCCATTTTGAGTAGCACACAAAGGCAACGCACCCCTCTTTGCAAAATCCTCCACTCGAGAAGGCTTCATTTTATAGCCCACGGTGACAACATTATGTCCAATCAACCTTTTATTTAAGTGACATATAGTCAATGGCAACTCTTCTAACTTCTCGATCAGAAGTGTGTTTGGGAAGTCACATGAAGTCCCACCTCCAAGATTAAGAGAAACAACCACCCAACTATAATTGCTCAATTTGGGCAAGACCTTCTTCTTATTAGAAACTAGATAGACAATACTGCCATCGATATCACCCCATGTAGGCATAACCTCACATGTGGGGTCATTCAAGCTAAAGAAATCAATTGAGTACAAACTTCCCATTCTTTTGAGATGACCGACCTCGGGTTCTGGAAGACCCACTGTATAAGAAATCCCAATGCGGATTTTGGATAGGAAGATCATGCGAAGAATAGACTCCGCTCCGGGTAGAAGAAGAGATGCATCTTCATCATCAGCAGCTTCAGTTAAGAGTGCTGACTCATCAAATATCACCCCCCTCACAACACCCATATCTGAGAAGGGATGCAACAGAGTGAAAAACACAAACCATACCAACAACATTTTCATGTAACTAAGCCAGAAAGTCAGGTAATACGTACGTCAATTAGAATTTATTTATACGATTTCTTAGACAATCAATTGAGGTTGACATCCACCAACTATGACAAAATATTCAGAAGCAAAAAATCCAAGGAGGTAGCAGATATAAAAAACTAATGAATGATTTAAAAAATTATTCTCTGCATTACCAATCAAGAGAGAATATGTCAATCGCCACTTTATTTGCGAAAAAATTTACAACATCCTTCCGATTATGATAAATGGGTATTCGAAAGTAAACCAAAACTTCAACAGTTTCAGGTTGGGATTGAGAAAAAGGGCACACCTGAAATATACGACAAGCGATGCAGATATCAGCAAGAAGGATTCTGTATCATCGAGCGTGAAATCCAAGCTCACATTTCTCTATCATGAAATGTCATCAAAATCTTCGCCTTTGATCCTCCTTCCTTTATTCCCCGAATCGCCCATCGTTGCCTCGCTGGACTGAGGAAATCGCTCACAGCAGATTCACTATTTATTTTTATTTTTGTTTTCATTGTACGGAAGATAATTTTACTTAAAAGCCCTTTGTTTTTGTTCAAATAACGGAAAGGAGACACTGACGCCACGTGTGCCTCGGCACCGTGGTTCCTGCCTCCCTGATATTAAGATACTGTCTTCGAAATAACTGATAAGGAGGAACTCCTAAAGTAAGTTTTCCCTTCCTTTTCCTCTTTCTTTTTCTATCAATATTATTGCTTGGAATTGCAGGGGAGCTGCCTCCAAAATTTTTCCTGGTAGAGTTAGAGACCTCTTAAGAGGTAAAGATGTTGATATTCTGGTACTTTGTGAAACTCAAGTTAGTGGAAGTAAAACCGATAGAATCAGCAGCAAACTGGGATTCACTGATTGGATCAGACTTAAGTATACTAGGTATGCAGGAGGTATTTGGTTATTGTGGAACGACAGAAATTGCTCTATTAAATATGGTACCTCTTCTACTCAGTTGCTTCATGCTCAAGTTTCTCTGAAAAGAAGTAATCAATTGTTTTGGCTAACCTGTGTGTATGGGAAACCTAGTCACTCTTTAAGACACTTTCTTTGGCGGGATATTATACATATTGGCACTAACATATTTGCACCGTGGCTAGTCTTGGGGCGATTTTAACGCTTGTCTCTCCATTGATGACAAGTATGGTGGAGCTGGACATAATATACCTTTTATGAGACAGTTTTGTACGTGCATTGACGAAGCTCATTTAATTACCATTGATTGTGTGAGAGACAAATATACGTGGAAAAAAAACTTAATGAAAGAAAGAATTGATTAGGCTTTCTCAAACGCTAGTTGGCTGGATGCTTTCCCTTCAACTAAGCTGTACCATTTAAGTAAGTTTGGGTCAGACCACCATCCACTCTTTATTCAAAGCAACTCTGGTAGTTTCGTGCAAAGGAAAAAACCATCCTTCAAATGCCAAGCTGCTTGGCTTCTAGAAGATGACTTCATGGACGTTATTAAAAGAAGCTGGAAGTAAGACAATTGGGAACAAAAAATAGCAACCTTTACCAAAGAAGTGGATGTTTGAAACAAGAAAAAAAATAAGGAGCATTCCAGCCAAGAAGAAAACAATCTTGAGAAGAATTAAAGGAGTAGAGAAAAGTCGAAGCTATAGAGATAACTAGTACTTAGTTCAAGTAGAGAGAGATTTGTGGAGAGAGTATAATAAAGTTCTTGCCCACGAAGAGCTTCTTTGGTGCCAAAAATCCCAATGCAATTGGCTTATATGGAGTGACAAGAATAGTAAATTCTTCCATGTGTTAACAGTTATCAAACGCAAGAAGAACAGAATTGAAGGTTTGAAAAATGGGCAGGGCAAATGGGTGTTTGACTAGGATATGGTCAAGGACTTGGCTTTGGGTTACTATAAAGATCTGTTTAGTAGCTGTCCTCAAAGCCAAAGAAGACTGAGAATGGACAACAATTTCCCAAGACTTGATACTGAAGACACCAGGATCTTGTCAGCGCCAATAATGAGTGAGGAAAATAAGGGTGCTGTGTTTGATATGGGGGTCTTCAAAGCATCAGGACCAGATGGCATTCAAGCTTTCTTTTATCAAGAATTCTAGAACTTGATCGGACCTGATATTTGTCAAATGGTGGAATCTGTTTTTACAGATCCTAACAGGATTGTGTTTTTAAACAACATAAATTTGTTCCTAATCCCTAAATCTGAGAAACTGGAGACAATTAAAGACTTCAAACCTATATCCTTGTGTAATGTAAGCTGTAAGATTGTGACTAAGATCATCAGTAGAAGGCTGAAAACCATTATGAACAAAATGGTAAGGAGGCATCAATGTAGCTTTATCTCAGGTAAACAGAGCAGTGATAACATAATCATTGCACAGGAGGTGATACACTCTATGAGGACTAAAGGGGGAAGAAATGGCTTGTTAGCTGTTAAGGTTGATCTCAAAAAAGCTTATGATAGACTCGAATGGCCTTTCATCTACGACACGCCGTAGCACGTAGGCATTGAGGAGAATCTGTGTAGCATTATCATGAGCTGTATATCCAACCCCTCATTCCAAGTACTCTGGAATGGAGAAGCTTCAGAAAATTCCCATTCCTCCCGAGGCATACAGCAAGGAGACCCAATATCTCCATACATTTTCACCTTATGTATGGAGAGATCGAATCACATTATTCAGGATGCAATCGGCGAAGGCTTGTGGTCCCTGATCAAACTCAACTCTCATGGTCCACCTATATCTCATCTTTTCTTTGCAGATGACTTGGGTGTTATTTGGGGAAGCAACCTCCTTTCAAGTGGATGTGATGATGTAATGCATCAACAAGTTTTGTAACTCCTCCGGACAAGCAATGAATAAAGCCAAGACAAAAATATGTTTTTCCAAGAATGTGCACTTCTCTATAGCTATAGAATTGAGCCAAAAGATGGGTGTCGGACTCATAGGGGATTTGGGCAAATACTTAGGTATCCCCTTGATTCATCAAAGGCTGTCCTACACTCTTTTTGCTCCTATTTTGGAAAAGGCCCGGAAAAGGATGGCGGGTTCGAAAAGGAGTCTCTTGAACCTAGCAGGAAGGGCAACACTTATTAAGGCAGTGCTATCTGCCCTCCCCTCTTATCATATGCAAACAATCCTCCTGCCAAAACAGTTGATAAGGACTTGGAGAAAACGAGCAGAAGCTTCCTATAGGATGAGAGAGAAGGTAGCCGTAAGATTCATTTAGGGTGTGTTTGGATGAAACCAAACCGTGGTTTGAAAAAGTGATTCTGGAGAATAGATTCTGGGGAAAATAGATTCTGTGAAGAATAGATTTTGTAAAAAAGTGATTCTGAGAAGTGAGAGTGTTTGGATAGTTGTTATCAAAAGCACTTTTTATATATACAAATTACTAAAAAAAAGACATAAGTTAATATGATAATTACAGAAAAAATAGATTTTATAATATATTTTAATTTGAAGGAATAAAATTGTTAATAATATGTTTTTTACCAACATAATTAATAATACATAAGATAATATAATTAATAAATAATTAATGTGTATATATATTTATAAAATATAAGATTAAATATATTTATAAAAAATATGTTTATAAAAAAAATAACAAGATACATATCATATAGGCCCTCACACTCTCCCTTTTTTCTCCAAAAGCAAAAAAATTTTGCTTTTTCCAAAACCATGGTTTTGGAGTCAAAACCATGGTTTTGACCCAAAACCATGGTTTTGGTTTTTGGAGGGGGTGTTTGGGTGACTAAATCCCCAAACCATGGTTTGGGGTGTTACCCAAACAGACCCTTAATGGCATGGGATCAGGTTACTTGTGAAAAGAACTATGGAGGCTTGGGTATCAAGAATTTTCAGAAGCAGAATGAGGCCTTTTTTATAAAGCTTTGTTGGAATCTTGTAACTGAAAAAAAGGCTCTTTGGGTGAAAATCTTGAGAAGTAAATACAGGTGCGGTACCAGAGAGATGCCGGTGATTAGGAAACCCCAAAATTGCTCACTAACCTGGAAGGGAATCTACGAGGTTTGGAGTCATTTTAAAAATGGGGTGGCAAAGAAGATTGAAAATGGGGAGACTACCTCCTTTTGGTATGAGAATTGGTCAGAGTTGCATGAACCACTCATTGACTTAATACCAGAATTGGAGGGCTAGATTGATAAGGAGGAGAAAGTTAGCGACTATGTGACCCCCTAGGGGGAATGGGATAGACAGAAGATGAATCAATGGTTTCATCACCATGTTATTAAGCGAATTATTGTTGCACATCCACCCCGTGAGGAGAGAGGAGAGGATAAGATGTATTAGAGACCATCCTCTGATGGTCGTTTCTCTGTTAGGTCTGCATATCAATTTTTACTTGTAGATACCCAGCAGCAAAAGGAGAGCATTTGGAAGAGAGTATGGCGATGGAGAGTTCCAGAGAAGATCAAATCCTTCATGTGGCTTTTCATTCACAGGCAAATACATACAGCAGAGCTTAAAGCGAGATGAGGACTCATCGAAGATGCAGCATGTCCGTTTGGATGTGGGGCAATAGAAGATTCAATGCACCTGATTCGAGACTACACCAATACGTGCCAACAATGGGAATCAATGGTTTTAGCTTATCTATGGCCAAGCTTTTGTGATAAACAGGGACTCGAATGGGTCAATTGGAACTTGAGCAAGGAAGCTGAACAAACTTTTACTAAAAAGATTTAGTGGGCTAATTTATTTGTTTACATTTACTGGGATATATAGGTATCACGTTGTAATACTCTATTCGGATCTTGGGAAGGCTTGAGGAATGGTAATGCCATTGACAGTTTTGCCAGAGCTTGTTGGGATAAAGAGTTAGTCTCTTTGTGCAATTTCTACTCTAGCTCCCAACGTTCTATGGGAAGGAGTATGGTTGCCCAAGGGGATTATATTACTTTAGAGGTGGAAGGCTCTGTTCTTCCAAATGGTAGGACTGGTTGTGGGGGAGTGCTGAAGGATAAAGAAGGTCAATGGATCATGGGTTTTAGCTGCAGATTAACATCGATGCCTCCGGCAATTGTAGAACTGATTGGATTTATTCATGGACTCAATTTGTGCTAGTCAAAAGGGTACAAACAAGTCATTCTATACACAGACTGTGTTGAAACCCTCTCCCTTTTCTGTAGAGGCAGTGAGGTGGGTCATCCTTTCAAAGACATCATTGATGAAGCCAGGCTTTTGAGCCAGAAGGACTAGTCGATTTTCCCATCCCATGTACCGAGGGAGTCTTTGTTTGTCGCTGATCACTTAGCAAAACATTCTCACTCTTTAGAGGATAACTTTTGTATCCTGAGCCATCCTCCTTCCGATATAAAGGGGATGATGGTGGGAGTTAGCTAGAGTTTGGACTGTTTGGTTCTTTGCACCAGCTTCAGTTTCTATTCAAAATAAATAAATAAATAATTGACCACTCATCCCAGCTCAGCGCGTGAGCCCCACGCCGATCATAATCTCACAAATTTCGGGAAGAAATACATCCGATTGGTTAGACGGATGCAATCGCGCTCAAGACTCGCTTGTGCCAAACGACATTCTTCCATTTGTCCTCATTATGTATATCTTATTCCTACTTAGTCATTTTTCATTCTGTTTTTTCTAAAAAATATATCACTTTCGATTCTGATAAAGAATAGAAAATAGAAACAGTGAAGTGCTTCTTGATTCCTCCTCTGGATTGTGCTGGGTTTGGAGGTTGGTGGGAGACCACAAGTCCTACTGAAGGTGCTCTGTTCTGCTTCTGTCAAAGTTCGTCTCTTTTTGGCACTTGAGATGGGTTTGTGGGAAGCTTTCCTCAATTGGTTACGGAGGTAAAGGTTGCTCCTTTTGCTCCTTGCTTGGAAGTTGATAAAGTGTAGCAAAACAATACTAAGTTTGAATGCTGAGTTTAACCTTTTTCTTTCTTCAAGAGCTCGGAATTTTGACTTCGCGACACTGATATTATCCTTCATCTCTTTGGGCTTTTCTCGAATCATCCTCTGCTTGGTGCTTTTTCTCCCTTTTTGTTTTGAATGATAGGATACCGATGAAATCCATGGAGCCCTGGAGTACGAGAATAAGTAACTTTTGATACTTGCAATCCAAAACAAGGGGAATATGTTGTGGTTATTGCTGCTAGTTTCTTCTGAATTGTCTTTTTAGCTATTATTTGAAAAGAATTTGATTATATTTGCGATGGATTCTAACTTCCAAAGTAAGATTAATCAAGGATAAATTCCTACCGGAGTGTGAGTCCAAGTAGGATAGCTATAACACCGGAAATACAAATAGAAGAAAGACAGAACACTCAAGCAACCCATCGTAATCCACTTTGACACCCCCCCCTGGGGTTTTATTATTCTTCTCCTCTTTCGCATTCTCATAGGTCTCTTAATGTATTTCTCCCTATCCTTCGATGCTTCTTTTTTATCCCATATAATTTCTATCATATTTTCCACACGTCTCTGACATTTCTCCATCTAGCAAGTATTCTTTCCAATTCTGCGTAAGAGATCCCCCTTTTTTTTTCCTTCCCAGATGGTACTGCTCTGAACTAGAAGATGTTGAGTTTAGTTATTGGCCTTGGTTAGTGAACTTTGGATAAAATTGCAGTATATAGTAAAATTTCTCTCTGAGGATTTTTAGCTAATTAAGAAGGAAAAAAAGGGCATCAAACCTATTCTGTTGTATGATGTCCTTATGATCTTAATGATATAACATTTGGAATCGGGGTCTCATGATATCTATACTATTTTTTGTGGAAAGAATGCTAGTTAATGCAATTAAAAATTATGATTGCTGCTTATCACAGAAAAATGCTGTAAATCCTGTACGCAAAAAAAATAAAAATAAAAACCATAGTCGACCATAAACACAACCATTTCCATTGCAAAACCTAACATGACATCAATATCACCACAGCAACAGTAGTTTCAGATTAGGAAATGGAGGTGCGCTAGACTGGCAGGGGACTAAGAAACGAGGTCAAGGCTCTGATCTTGTTATGCTTGTGAGGGTTGGTTAAAATAGTTAAATGTGTCCAAGTTTGTTTCTCTTGCTTCTTTAAGATTAGAATCCCTTGGGTTTACAGTTCGAACAGATGCAAAGCTGATTTGGAGAGTGCATGTTGTTGTTGTCTTGGTTTTGCATATTTGCTGTATCCTTCAATAACTTGGTGAATTGGAAAGTTGAGCTGCAATGTATCCTTCAGTATATTGTGCGAGGGTTAGTTGTTTTTACTCCAGTTGTTAATTTTTTCCCGGTACACACAATTCTGCTTGCAAAATGATTGCTGAGACATACTTTGTGTATCTTTGTTAGCTGTTTTATCTAAAATGAAACTTTTGCTGCACTTGTTTCTGTTATAGTTCATGCTAGCCAGTAAAGTGGCCTTTTAAAGTGGATCTTAGAAATGTTAATACTTTTCTTTTCTATGTGGTAGTCTCTTTTTCAAGCAAGAAATGGAGCTATCTTTGATTGGTCTTCAGAATGCTGGAAAAACATCACTTGTTAATGCCATTGCGGTATGTGAATGCAATCATACTTACTGGACCACTAATTTTCTGTACCATATTATCTGTTTTGTAAGATGCTGATGCTTGATTTGTGTTTTGTTCTGGTATAGACTGGTGGATATAGTGAGGATATGATCCCCACGGTATGTCACTTTCCTTTGACTATAATCTAATGCTTATATGCTTCTCTGTGATTTACTTCATAATTTTTGTCTATTTATAGGTAGGATTTAACATGAAAAAGGTAACTAAAGGCAACGTGACGATAAAGTTATGGGATCTTGGAGGCCAACCAAGGTTTCGCAGTATGTGGGAGAGATACTGCCGTGCTGTATCAGTTATTGTGTACGTCCTATAAACCACCTTGGGACAGATAACTATTGCATCAATTGCCAAACTTTTTGTCTTTTCTTGTTTAATGAACTGCTTTAAATGCATTGTTCGTCATAAGATATGAAGGCCCTTTCTCTGAACTTATTAGGTTCATTGTTTTCTATTGCATATTCTACCATTTTGACCCAGAGAGAATGAACAATTTCAGATTTGACGGAAGATCAACTTAACGCTTGAATATTATCTGTTTAGGAGATTGCTTTAGAGATTGTTTCTTTATCAGTAGATGTATATTTTATATCTCTGAAATATTTCTGTGCATATTCATTTCGACATTCTAAGTTTCTATCTTATGGAGAACCCTATTGCATACCTTGTTCTTTGACCAAGAGACTTTTTACATTCTGCAAGATCCTAGATAAAGAATATAGTCTTAAAACCTAAAACTGATTATTAGACATGGTAAACTTCTTAGTACATGATGTTCTTGAATCATCTACCTGTATGTTTACAGCTGGGATGTGGGAAAGCTGATGGAAGTTGGTTGTTTCGAGTCTAACTACACCATTTTACTGTTTCAGGCAATGCCTTGGTTATTAAAGATTAGTTTATTACAATAAGACCTGATCATTATGATTTAAAGTTATGTGATTCTTGGTGGAATTTCAACATGATGATTATTCCTCATAATGTCCTTATTACTTTGATCAATTAAGAAAGTCATTGACAAAAATCTATTGGAGCAATACCCTCCTTCACCCTTCTTCTGATCATCTCCTCTCTTTTACTGCTACATAAGAGGTCCATGACTTGACAAGCAAGAAAGGGTGAGGCGTAGTGATTGTTTATTCAATTCGTTTACTTTTGATCTCATTACAGTATGACATTCTTTATTTGCTTCTTTCACTCTTAAAGGCGTGTGTTGCTTTTCATATGCATTCAGAGTTTAAAATTATCTTGCCAAGCGGTATAGACTATAAATAAGACATGAGTAAAAGTGGCACTTCTTGGTGGCTACAGTCAATCTGTCACAATTGATTTTCTGCAAAATACAAAACGGTGGTTTTGTTTCATGTATCAAGACCTGCTTTACTTTTCACATCAAAATATAAAATAGAATTTCAATTAAGGTTGTTGCAAATTACTTCCTGAAGTGATCCCTTGATCCTTTTTTTTGGGGGGGGGGGGGGATATCAACTTTTCTTGTTACTGCATCAAATCAATCCAGGAAACTACTAGTCGAGAAGATTATACTTATTTTTTCTTATTCGTTATTTTTGGAATGTCATTTTGATTTCTCATGTAGAAAAATTATATTAATAGTTTATCAACTTTTTATGTTGTAGCTATGTTGTTGATGCAGCTGATCAAGAAAATTTGCCCGTCTCTAAAAGTGAACTTCATGACTTGTTGAGCAAGCCTTCTTTAAATGGTATTCCAGTGCTGATAGTGGGTAATAAGATAGACAAACCAGAAGCTTTGTCTCAGCAAGATTTGACAGAACAGATGTAAGTCTTGTACTCTCATGTTTAGATATTTTATGATGAATTGCAAACTGTTTTTACATATGTCAAAAGGCTTTCTGAATCGTTGCATTGGACCTAGGTAGACATCACGAGAAAAATCATTTGATATTAAATAGTTCGGTTCTTAAAGTATTCTCTATATTTAAGTTTTTTGGTACATTGAGGAAAGCATTTAAGTGATGCATCACATTCTGCCAAAAAAAAAAATATTCAAGAGTTTTGTCTGCTTCTTATAGTGTTTTAAAATATTTATGTTGCTGAAAATGTGTAGGGATCTAAAATCTCTTACCAACAGAGAAGTTTGTTGCTTCATGGTTTCCTGCAAAAACTCCACCAACGTTGACACAGTTGTTGATTGGCTCGTGAAATATTCAAAATCTAAAAACTGAGGCTTGAGTTCTGAGTGTGAATCTATTGGCTGAAGTAAGTGCAGCTGGCGTGACAATTCCCTTTCATTTTTTTGACTGGGCTTTCATTAAATTGAGCATTGTTTGGCTTGGCTGATGTTCATATCTACTCATCTATAACCTATATATTAATTATAATAATGTATGTAAATTGCTAATAATGCATGTAAATTACATCTGAATTTCGTTTTACCTAATAAAGAATATTGTATGTACATTGCTAATGCTATAATGTAATGGATTCGAGTAAATAACAATTTGGTTTGTCTATGTTTTGGAAGATCGGTTTTAAGTTCAATAGGAATTCTCCAAATTCTAAAATTCCACAAAGATGGAGAGGATCAGAAGAAACTCTCACAAACAGTAAATATTCAAATGAAGCGAATAATATGTAGAGGGATGAGCAGTAAAAAATAAATGCATGCTAATCACATTTAGAGCACTTAGAAATTGTTTTTCTGAACTTCTGAGACTTGACTAAGGCTCATATAAATGGATTTCTTAATGTAGCCATTAGAAACAATCCCAACTTGGTTTACTTAAGAAGTATAAATCGACTATTGTATTTAATGTCTCTAACAAGGTATTAATTGACTATTATATAGGTAGAAGTCATCTGTTGTAGGGATACCAGCCAAGCATTACCCTTCCATAGGTGATTCTCATTTAATTCTAGGTAATAGTTAAACAGTGTCTTTATAGAAGCTGACGTGGTCTTTTGTAAAACCAAATTTCAAGGTGACTAGGAGATCACAAACTGTGTACAAGTTGATTGCTCACTAACCCCAAAGCAAAAGGAGAAATAATAAGTGTGTGAATCAGCTGGAACAAGGATAGAAGCTTCTTTTTTCCTTTTAAACTAGAGGCAAGCAGAGCACCAACAACCTAAGGTTATGAGCGGAATTAAACCTGTAACCTCCCAGTTACTAGGCCACTATTGGCAACAAGGATAAAAGTTGACTGCTATCAGTTTCAAGACGAAGTTTAAGATTTCCAATTGAAGGCTAACCTTCTAATGCTGCAAAAAAAGGAGGGAAAAAAACCCCAAGCTTTTGTTTCATGACTATCACTTTTCTGATCTGGCACGTGAATACTTTGTTAATCATAAAAAGCTCAGAGATTGCTTAGAAGGGGGCATTCTGAGAACTGAACTTGTAACCTCTCACACCCTTTCGTCTTGGCACTGAGACACTGAAGTCATTTGTATACAGTAGGCTTTGCAGTTGTCCTCAGTTCAATAGGGGGAGGGTTCTGCAATCCGCATTGGCTTGCAGATGCTGCTCCTGATCCTTTTTTCAATTCAGCTGAAAGAATTGACAAGGCCCCTTCAAGCAAGACTTTCTCATTATTTTTGAAGATTTCACAGTATGCGAATACATCAGTAGATGTAATAAATTAAGAGAGATCTGAAACTGCAACTTGTCTATTCGAGGTTTGAATTAAGTTTAGTGTTGACTTTTTCCTTGTGAAGAGTCTTGCGTTGTAGCAAGTGATTAAAAATGAAAATTGAGAATTACAAAAGGGGCATTCCGAGAATCGAACTCGGGACCTCTCGCACCCAAAGCGAGAATCATACCACTAGACCAAATGCCCTAGCTGATATTTACAAGGATCATTAACATATCTTTGGTATTGTTCTATGAAACTTGGAAATTGGCTAAGATTCATTAAATTGACTAAAATTGCTTTCCTGGATAGCCAATTTTCCCATTCAATTGTACCCAAGAATATCTCATTATTCCCACAACTTCCCAGAGCGAATATGTGTTTTAAGGAAATTGGCTAAGATGCACTGCATTATCTGTGATGCTATAACGTTTGAGATGCTTACTGATCTGCTGCTAGGTTCTTGTAACTTAGTTCATCAGGCTAAGTTTCTTAGACTAAGTACGCATGTGGAAAGGATCCAGGTTCTAAGAGTGCAGATCCTCTGTCCATATTTAAAGCTGTGCAAGGTGTGAACATTTCTTCTGAGCAGTCTGGATCTGGTTATACAATCCAGATCTTGCTTTTTTTGGCATCTTCAAGGATAGGCACTGAAATGCTTAAATCAATTATATCTAATACATTTGTCACTTCCCCAAGGCTCAATATAGGGATGATTCTGCGGTCTGGCTTGTTTTACACATGCTCCCCCTGATGCTTTTATTAATTCAGCTGAATGAACTGATAAGGCTCTTCCAAGCTAGCCTGTCTCGCCATTTTTCAGATCTTATGTTATGTGAATACTATATCAATTGTAATAAAGTAAAAGATTAACACTGCAATTGTCTGTTAAGGTCGCATTAAGATTGGTATTGACCTTTTCCTTGTAAAGATTCTGGTTTTGCTGCAAGGGGATTATAACTAAAACTTAAGAGTTAAAGAAGGGGCATTCCGAGAATCGAACTCGGGACCTCTCGCACCCAAAGCGAGAATCATACCACTAGACCAAATGCCCTTGTTGATATCTTCAAGGATCCCTAAAAGATCTAATATATATTTCCATCACACTTGGGGATTTTTTCTGGAATCCTTTTGTTGACCATAACTGCTTACCTGAGAAGATATTTTTTGTTCCTCTCTTCAATTGTGCCCGAGAACTTTCCCTGCAACAAGTCCTTCCTGAAGCTAATTTGTTTTTTTCTGAGAGGGATGCTTATTTGCTGCCATGCATTTAAAACCAATTTAACTTAGAAGGTTCTGAGTCTGACTTTCTTTGCCAAAAAAGAAGGCTCTTCTGCCATCACTCTTCACATTCCTGATCTGGCATGTGAAATCATAAAAATCTTGATTTCATAAAGTAGGAATGAGAATTGAACACTGTAACTTGTATGTTTACAAGAGTTATATAACTAGACCAAGTTCCATGTTCATATCTTCAAGGCTGTCTCAGTCTCTTTAGTGTTTATTGAAATTTAGGAGTTTTTTGCAGACCTCACACTGTCTAAAGTTGTTTATCTCCCCAATTATCTGGTGAAGCTTATGTCTGTGATGCTTGCTTATTAGCTGCTAGGTGGTTCAAATTTATAAGCTAATTTAGCTCAGCAGGATCTGACTTTCTTAGAAAAACAAGCATTCATGGCGCAAGATCTTATTTTCCAATGCTTCTTTGGCTTGGCACTGAGATGCTTAGGTCATTTGGATGCAATAGATTTTTCGGTTGTCCAGAGTTCAATAAGGGGATGGTTATGCAATCCGTGTCAGTGTGCAGATGCTGCCCCTGATGCTTTGTTTAATTCGGCTGAAAGAATTGACTAGTCCCTTTCAAGCTAGCCTTTCGCATTATTGTTCAAGATCTTACAGCATGTGAATACTTCACTAGTTGTAATAAATTAAGAGAGATCTGAGACCACAACTTGTCTGTTTTTTATATTTGTATTGAGGTTGGTGTTGACTTTATTCCTTGTAAAGATTCTTGCTTTGCAGCAATTGATCAAGAATAAAACTTGAGAGTTACAAAAGGGGCATTCCGAGAATCGAACTCGGGACCTCTCGCACCCAAAGCGAGAATCATACCACTAGACCAAATGCCCTGGTTGATATCTTGAAGGATTACCAAAAGATCTTGTCATGTTCCATGATAATTAGGACTTATTTTAGATTTCTTACATTGGCTAAAAGTGCATGCTAGAACGGACAATTTTATACTTCAACTGTTACCAGGCTTCATTGGTGCAATAGGCAACAACTCTGTTCTCTTGCTAATTTGATTGCTTGGGATAAATGGCTTATATCAGCAGACATCACTTTCTTAATGAAAACACATGCTTCTCTTTTATCAGTATTCGTTTTTCAAATCTTGGCTCTGAATACTTCATTAGTCATAAAAGAAAAACAGATCAGAACAAAACAAAACAAAACAAAAATTTCCTTGAAGGGGGCATTCCGAGAATTGACCTCGGGACCTCTCGCACCCTAAGCGAGAATCATACCACTAGACCAAATGCCCTGGTTGACATCTTAAAGCACTACAAGAAGCATTTCTGTATTTTCCCTTGTACATGGGAATCCATTAGATGCCTTTCATTTCTAAATCTGCTTACATGTATAGACAATTTTTCAGCTCTTCTTCAATTTCATTCAAGCTTCATTTGTGCAATGACTATTTCAGAAGCTAATATGATTTCTAGACAAATGGTGTTTATTATTTGCTGCACTGTTCTGTAAAGCAATTCACATTCAGAGGTTCTGACTTTCCTTACCAAAAGACGCTTATCTGTCATTCCGCATTTTCCACATCTTGCATGTGAATACTCTATTAGTTTAAAAAAAAATTATAAAAAATACTCATACATTTCATAGAAAGGGGGCATTCCGAGAATTGAACTCGGGACCTCTCGCACCCTAAGCGAGAATCATACCACTAGACCAAATGCCCTTGTTGTAGCTGACAGAATTTTTCAACTATTAAATAAAATTTGGGAATTTGTTTAATGCCTCTCATTGACTAAAGTTGCTTGTCTCCTGAATTATATGCCGATGCTAAAATGTTTAAGATGCTTACTAATGTGCTGCTAGGTACTTCAAACTAACTTAGCTCAGCAGGTTCTGAGTTTCCTAGACAAAATAAGATGCACAAACGATCCAACTTCCATGAGTGCTGATCCTCGGCCCTCATCTAAAGATGTGCAAAGTTATGTACATTTCTTCTGGACAGTTTGGATCTGATTATACAATCCAGATCTTGTTATCTTTGTCTTCAAGGCTGGGCTCTGAAATTATTAAATGCAGTTATATCTAATAGATTGGTCACTTCTCCAAAGTTCAATATGGGGATAATTCTGCAGTCGGAATTGGCATTCAGATGCTGCATCTGATAGTTTTTCTGTTTTTGTTGTGGGGAGGGGGCTCTTTTTCAAACTAGCCTGTCTCGCCATTTTCCAGATCTTATGGCATGTGAATACTGTATTAGTTGGAATAAGGTTAGAGATTTGCTGCTGCAACTTGTCTGTTAAGACTTTTTTTAAGATTGGTGTTGACTTTTTCCTCGTAAAGAATCTGGTTTGGGCACAAGGAGTTTAAATTAAAAATTGAAACTTACAAAAGGGGCATTCCGAGAATCGAACTCGGGACCTCTCGCACCCAAAGCGAGAATCATACCACTAGACCAAATGCCCTGGTTGATTTCTTCATGTGTTACTAAAATTCTTATTCACTATCTCCTTCTTTTCTTTAAACCTGACTGTATTTTTTCATGACATTTGAGAACTTTTTAGGATGCCTTGCATTGAGCAAAACTTCCTACCTGACATCCTTTAAATGCTGCTCTGTTAATGAAATCATCTTGACTCAGAAGCTTCTGACTTTCTGCACCAAAAGACATGCTTATCCATTTTATATTCTGGGAAAGAGATACTTGTGTTCTGCTTTGTTTCTGACTCTCTTGTGCTGGAAGACATGCTTCTTCGTTATCACTATTCATTTTCTATGCCTTGAATGTGAATTCTATGTGGTTAAAGAAAAAAGAATGTGAATTATATTAGTAGAAGCAACAACAAAAAAAACCTTGGATTTCACAAGGGGGCATTCCGAGAATCGAACTCGGGACCTCTCGCACCCGAAGCGAGAATCCTACCACTAGACCAAATGCCCTTGTCAATATCTTTAAAAATAAAAATAAAATAAAATAATTTTGTGGATGTAGAGTGACATTATGTTCTTTTGAGTTTCCTGAGATGAGATGTAACCCAATAGATTTGGTTCAGATGAAATTGTGTTTAGATGCCTTGCATTGACCTCAGAAAATTTTGAATCATCATTTCCAAATAACTTGATGAAGAACGGTCTATGGGGAAGAGAGCTTATTTCTAGATCTCTTTTAGTTCAGCTGGCTGACTTCCTCAGCCAAAAGTCTAAAACACAAGGTTTCTTCGTTATCAAATTTTCTGTTGATCGAGGCTGGGCATTGAATCATGTTCTGATTCCTTTGTTCAAGGATCAGTTTAAGGAGGATTCTTCATTCATTGGCATGCAGCCCTGCTGTTTTTAGCGTTGATCTATAAAGGAACTATTGACAAGGCCTCTCTCAAGTAAACTCTTCATCTTCCAGATCTCATCATGTGAATACTTTATTAGTTTTAAATCTTCATTTCTAGATCTGATGCTTTTGGCCTTAAGGTATAGACAAGGCTCTTTCAAAGTAGCTTGCTATTTACCAGATCTCAACATGTGAATATTTTAAGCTACAACTGTCAGTCTCTGTCTTCCAGATCTAAAAGCTTGTGAATTTTGTGAATAATTTATTGGAAAGGGGAAATGGGGTTCTGACATTGCTATAGCAAAAATAACTCTCTTTTTTTCAATACCTGAAAAATTTATTTTTACTGGGCTTAATGAAAACGTCCTCCCTTTATGGGCCAATTAAAGTAGCAAGCCCCTTCAGATTTAAGGGAAACTTAATTTTTTTTTTTTTGAATTAATGAATTGGGATCTGACTAAAGTAATTGCATTCCGTTTTCACAATTTGATAGTTGGAAATTTATACTCCCTATTCTCTCTGTGTATGAGTAGAGATGGGGCTTTTATTCTACGAAAACCTGAGTTAGGCTCTATAAGGGTGATTTAGTCTCCCATTGTGGGAGTTAGGCCACCTAATCCCAAGTATATGTGAGTATGGATGTATTCACATCTATCAAACCAAGAAAAATGTTTCTGCAACACAAGGCAAGAATGGTGAAAAGATCAAACAGGAAGAGGAAAAGCAAAGAGAGGATATATCCATTGGGTTGGAGAGTCTCTTGTGCTAATAAAACACACTTCTTCTCACTTCTCTTGTATATGATTTATACATATGGGAGTCATAACAATGCATTTTCATTTGAGATTGGATATCATTAGTAGTTTCACACCACAGCATTTCACTCGACTTCTTATTAGTCAAAACCTTTCACAGGCAGCCTGCTCTATAATGTTGACCTTTCAATAAAAACACTAATTTTATGAACACAACTCTAAAGAAAGAGATCATCTTAAAAGACTAGTTTGTTATCCTTACAAGATATAGAGAATACGATCTGACATGAAGTACCATATTTTACTACTCTTCCGGTCCTTAATATAGGATCCATTTAACTAATTTGATTAGATTAAAGAAGTTAGATAAGTTAGTTAATTATAAAAATTGTGACATGTTTTTCCTAAAATACCATAATCATCTTTCTTAATACCCCTCTCTATCTTCTACTTGATTATGGTTGATGGAATATCTATAGAGGTAATTTAGAGAAAATTGATAAATATAAAAAATGGGTCTTATATTTAGGACCAAAACCAACTCAACAATTGGGTCCTATATTAAGGACCGGAGGAGTATTAAATTTACGATAGGCTTCTTTGGATGGGAATCAGCACCATGTCCCTAGAAACTAGAGGCCTAAAAATATCAATTTCTTCCGCGGGGATCTGCTTTAAAACTCCTACTTTGAGGGTTGATTCTCCTTCTGCTGTGCCAGAGAATGTCATTCAGCCAAAATGTCATATCATATAAATGAGCAGTCAACCTAATAATACCATACTTGATAAAACTGTTTTCCTTTATGTAAGGGAGACATCTTCAAATCCAGTTCATATCCATGACCCTGCAAATAAAACATTCTCTCAAAACGTATCCTTTTTTAAATGAAAAGACAAATGATATTAATAAAAAGATACAAAGTCTTAACTAACAATACAATCAAGGTCAAAAAATAATAATAATAACAACAATACAATGAGCAACAAGAAAATAAATCAGGAAAAGAGCTAAGAACTTAACATCTGTATGAGAAAATAAGCATAAGAAGGAAATGATGTCTTTCATAATGATATTCTTTTTATCCTGCTATTGTACTTTTAAGATGAGCAAACTAGTTCATATGGACCATGATTCTGATTGGAGAAGTACTAAAGGAGAAGAAGAGAAAAAATTCACAAAAACAATGATGGACCATAAACATTTATAATTGGAGAAAGAGTCACCAGTTTTCTCGAATCCATTGAAAATATTGAAGATAATGACCTTGAAATTACTTTTTTTTTTATTGCCTGAAAAAAATATCTTAGCACTAATAAACCGTGCCTCTTTCTCAATTAGACCTTTTCAAACAAAATAAATCATGCGAAAGACTAAGGATTTTCTTTATGAAAAAGGGACTCGTGTGTCTTTTAATAAAAATAATAAATAATAATCATAAAACTAGAAGAAATATTATACTCCTCCGGTCTTTAATGTAAGACCTATTTAACTAATTTGATTAGATTAAGGAAGTTAGGTAAGTTAGTTAATTATAAGAAAAGTGACAAATTTTTCCTAAAACACAATAATCATCTTTTTTAATACCTCCTCTCCCTTTTCTATTTGATTATGGTTGAGGGAGTATCTATAGGAGTAATTTAGAGAACATTGATAAATATGATAAATGGGTCTTATATTTAGGACCAAAACCAACTCAAAAATTGGGTCCTATATTAAGGACCGGAAGAGTATTTCATTACATATGAATTAAAAATTCATTGGAACGAAAAAAAAAAAAGAATTAAAAAGTCAATTTTAGCATTTCAGTCCACATGCACCGTATTCAGATTCCAAAACAAATCTGGATGTTCCACATCTTCGTCTTTGCAGCAAGAAATCTCATTTTGATTTATTAAAAAAAATTAATAGATGAAGAAGCCAAACTTGTTGTTTCTTGATGGGTTGTTGATCACAAATTGTCAAATGGAAGGTTGACCGTTAACCTTGGTTTATACGGTGAAAGGTTAGGCATCGAATTCAAAGAAAATAATATAATAAAATGATGAATTCCCCCACCAAGTCTTTGATTATTCCTAATTAAGTCTTCTGCCCCCCCCCCCCGGGAAACTATTCCTAATTAATTGGCAGTAACATATTCTAACCAATCCCATTCTACGGAAGAACCTACCCAGCCAGGCGGCGCAATTACCTTCCCCTTCTCTGTTAGGTCAACCATAAATTTTGTATAAAGTATGTCTACAAGGAGTAGGATTTCTTAATTCAACTTTTAGCATCCGTTTAAAATGACTTATAAATAATTTTGCAATTATCATTTATGAAATACGAGATAAATATACGAGAGAGGTTTTGTCTCAATTTATATAAAACGTGCCTATAAGTAATTTCAAACTTGATTCTAAACAGAACCTTGGTTGTTAGAACTTAGAACGTACTTATAATTGCAAACAAGTGTTCAGGTATAGTTCAGTTTCATTGCTTTGAGTTATTGCCGACAGTTCAGCTTTGAAGATCATTACACCCTGTCTATCAATTATTCTGTTTCATATTCCTTTTTGGAAGAGAGAGAAGAAAACATGAAGACGTCAATCCTTTTAGATGGAGGGTCAATATTAGAAATCGAATCGTACCGGGCTGTTTGTTGGGGAAGGAATGAACATAAGGAAATGGAATGGAGGTTGATGGGTTGACTTTAATTTTCTTTGCGACCAAGTAAGCGTGGGAAATTCAAATTTAAATGCACATATTAGATTCCAACAGGAGGACTCCACATAATGAAGGAAGAAATTGACAATCGTCAGAGACAGACAAACTGAAAAAAATGATTTGCAATAATAAAGAAGTTGGGTTTGTGGCATCCATCCGTGGGCGTAAAAAGAGGTAGAAATTCACGTCAAATAGGTACATAAATTTTTTTTAATAAATACAAATATTTTTTATTGAAAGCAATTATATTGGATGTTATATTAGATACTATGTAGTGGGACAAGGCTTTGTTATTGTTGTTATATTGGATACTAAATGTGTCATAGCAGGACTATTAGTTATAATACTACCTCCAGTTTTTAAAATAAGAGCTAGTTTGATTTTTATTTTGGTCCAAACATAAGACTTAAATCCACTTTATCTCTCATATTTATTTATTTATTTGGAAATAATCATTCTATTAATGATAGTTCTAACTAATAAATTTGATTAGAAAAGACAACACGTATTTATTATAAGTAACTAATTTAACTTATTTTTTAATTTATTTAGACTAGTTTTTATATTTAAGACTGCATGCAATATTAGGTTGTGACAGACAAACGCGGAGACAAAGAAGATATCTATGAGCTTAGACAAAGAAGATATTTAGGAGCTATTTTTTCTGGCGTCGTGAGAAGAAGGAGGTGCAGATTTGTTGTTTTCTTCAAAACATGCCAGGGAGTAGTGTTATAACAAATCTTTTGTCGGGGCACTACATTACCGCTCACTGATTTGAGTACTGCCCCATCAAGTCACCCACGTGCCATAAAACAACAACATTGACCACAATCAATCGAATGAAATTACACCTCCCAAAACAATTCACTCAATCACTCGTGCGCACCTCTCATTTGCATTGCCAAATCAATGTCAAAGAAATTGGCTTCTCTCTTTTGCCCTTAGTTTCCGCTGCCTCACCTCTACCCAAAATTAGACAACGTCGAATGTAAAATGATTAACGAACACTTTGTTTTGGGGCAAAATAACCTAAAATATTCATAGTCCTGGAAGCTGCAGCAGCAGCTAATACAAAGGAGAGCAGCCGCGTTTGTCAAAATCAACCCCCCCCCCTCTTCTATTTTCCTGACAAACTCAATTTTACTATCAGTTCGGTCTACGGATTGTAGTTGGTGACTTGGTGCTAGCATTACACAAGCCCCACGGAAATAAATTATGAAAAGTTAATTGGTTTTTTAATCAGTTAAAATAAAAAGTAAAAACTCGGGCACTTTATCCCAAAAAACAAACTCAAACTAGAATATACATTCAAAATAATACGCAATTTTTTCCAAAACGAAGCCTAAAATAAACAAAACAAAAAACAGCACAGATTTTGGATTCTAAACCATAATATATATACTTGGGATCATGGACTCGGTGACATTGTGCAAGCAATATATATAGTTCCAAGTTATTTAAAATAAAATAAAGCAGTCACAAAACCAAAAAAGAAGACTTAAAACGAGTAACAATATTTCACTGTGTTCCGGGTTAAACATGCTTGAATCATCCTGTGCACCATCAATGTCTTCTCAGAAGCACGCATCCAAAAGGCAGCAACAGCAAAGAGCAGCCAAACTGCACAAATCAAGAATTTCAAACATCAAAATCAGAACCCACACAAACTTGACAAACCCATCAATTCAAATTTTGAGAACTATGAGAAGAAGGAAAAATTTGCATCCTGATCCTTATTATTTTTTCACACCATATTCTTATATATTCATCTCCATCCCTTTACTGAGTATCCCACGCAGAATTTTGGCCACTCAAGGAATTTAAGAGGGCTAATCAGACCCACATTGAAGAGAAAATTCTAATTAGCTAATTCCCAAAAACAGGTTTCGTGATTTGAGTAATCAAGCAATAAGCGGAATCACGAAGAAGATCTGAATCTAAATATTGTTGCGCATTGGCCACCAAACAATTTGATTTCTCTTTTCATAATTTTAACGCATGCGAAAAGAATCTGTAAGCCCACCGAAAGGACGAAAACACCCTCTACCTAAAATATCGCAAAAGCTGGAAAACCATGTGCCTAGCGTAACTCAATACAACCCAAACCGAGTTGGAAACCTATCCACATCATCATCCACCATGAGTTCCTTGCTTGACCCACACTCACAGCAACAGTTAATGGATCCGCACCGTATAGCACACGGTGACCGGCACCGGCGAGACAGTCATCTTGCCGCCAATCACCAGATCACGCCCGATTTGACTCTCTAAGGCTCAAATTTCTCAGAGAGAGAGAGAGAGAGAGCTTACCATCCTTCCAAACAACCAGGTCCCGTTGAACTTTGCTGCTGAGGCGGAGGCTGCTGATACTGAGGTGCATACGGAGGCGGATATCCTTGCTGAGGATAAGACGGCGGAGGATATCCCTGTGGCGGATATCCCGGTGGCGGATAAGCGTCCTTCGCATATCCCTCGGGAGGATAACCTGTTCACACATCCAAACATCACAATCAAAACCTAAACCCAACAGATCCGAATCCCAAAAGCCCCCAATCTCAAACCTAGCAGATCAACAAAGCACACCGACATGCAAATCAAAAAGACCACAAAATCGAAACAGAAAACTCAGGTAGAGTCGACGAACCTTGTGGCGGCGGAACTCCCACCGGCGGCTGCTGCTGGTTGTAGTAACTCATCTTCGCCGAAAATTGACGCCTCTGTTGAACCTTTTTCTGCGGCTGTTGGAGGGAACTGCTTTGTTTTTGTGCACAATTGTGAAGCCGAAGGGAAGAATCGGTAGTATTTATCCGAGAAAAGGTCGTGGGTGATTATATTCAGGACGTGACCAACGAATGACCCAATAAAATAAATAAATAAATAAACTATTTCACAGGGAGTGCGGGAAGAAGCCGTTCCGATAATGACACGTCAGCAATTTATCAGTTGCCTTAAAGATGACTCCACGATCGACGGTCCCGATGCGTGTTTTCTTGTCTATTTAAAATAATAATAATAATAATAATAATTTGCTTTCGTATCTGTTTTCAAATTTGTCATACAATAGTAATGGTGGGCCCCATGTAAGATCTCGGTTAAAATGCTTAATTTTGTGCTATTGCGGAGAAAAAAAAGTCATAAGAGCATGGGCAGAGCGCGTTGGATACGCGTACGATATTTTAATTATATTTTGTGATTTCCGATAAAAAAAAAGTTTAAAAAAAACTACTCTATTTAATTCTCAATTTATCACTAATTACCGATCGCATGGTATCTAAGATCTAAGATAGTCGGGAGCGGACACTGTACACCAAAAATTTAGATTTTCGATGATGTAGTTAATCTGCCTAGTATTGCTGATAAGGCACCCGTTAGATTTTCCACTAATCTTAAATAAATCATCTATTAGCAATAAATCAATTAATCCTGCGGAATTTCCGCCACAGACACTGAAAAATTTAGATACAAATACCCAACATATGAATCCAGAAAGTTATGCTTTTGCTATGACAAGTTTATATTTAAATTCATTAAATTTGAAATACGTATATAAGGCTAACTTATTTCAATTGGTAGTGCTTATTAATTTCTCATAATTTATTATAGAATTAAGGTGTAATTTTGACCATGATCTTATTTTTTAAATATAATTTTACCTCTAATCTTTTAATGGTGCAATTTTGCCCCTACTTTTTAGATGTAATTTTGCCTCTCAAAGTCAAAATTGCATCTAAAAAAAACTAAGATCAAAATTACATCACTAAAAAGATCAGAAACAAAATTACACCTGAAAAATAAAATCAAAGTTGAAATTGTATATTAAAACTCTATATTATATATTATTTAATTTTATTTATTTTTTTATTATATTATTTGTTTTTATAGGATTTTTTTTTTCAAGATATATCTCGTGTGATAGCCTGTTCTTTTTTTTTATTACTCCATTTTTTTAAAAAATTTTATCCAAACATTAGATTGATTTTTTTAACTGAACATAATGCAAAGATAACGAATGACTAACCAGTATCCAATTATTCATAACCTTACAGGATGATCCTTTTGATCCCGACGTTTTTTTTAAAGGAATATAAATTTGGATAAGATAATATTTTTGTGAGATATAATTATTTTTCAATAAAAAAAACTAATTTCTTGTTTCTTGACCATTTGTTGTTCCCGTATGGTCAAACCTAACTCATGACCACTGCCTTCAGCAACGCGCAAAATTTAATAATTGTTCAATCAAATTAATATAAAAAAAATAGTGCACATCAATAGAACATTGTTATTTGCTTAGCCCTTTATTGTTCCTAAATAAACATTCCATTATCTTTTTTCTTCGAAATTACAAATCTTGCTTGTATAAGAAAATAATATATTTGATAAATTATTCAATAAATAATAGTTGGCAGTAAACATCATAAGAATCTTTTATACTGCCTTTTAAAGTCATCTTATTTCAAACAAGAATAATATAATATTAAAAAGTTCAAAAGAATCAAACACCATCAGGAAAAAACACATGCATATATTAAATATTTAGTTTACATCACTTTGAAAAGCAAATAGTTATTCATAAAAACCAATAAAATTAGTTCAATTAATTATTTATAATAAATATGTGTTAATTTTTTTAAATTACCATTTCTAACCATATGCAGTAGAATTACTCTTTGGTAGGAATTCCCTTAACACGTAGAATAAATAAAAATACTTTAAAAAAATATAAATTTTAGAGACAAATTATACTGGGGTCTTGTATTTAGAATAAAATTTAATTTTAAATAACTTTAATACTACCTCTAGTCCTTAGTATAATAAATAGTATGACATTCAATTTAGTTTTAGATATAAAACATCAATCCACTTTATCTTTCATATTTATTAATTTTTTTCAAGGTAGTCATTACAGCAGATGCACATGTTAAAGGTTTAATTAAATGACAGTTCTAGCTGATACACATGATTAGTAAGGGTATTTTAATAAAGATAACACCTATTTATTATAAGCAACTAATTTTTTTTAATATATCCGGGAAAAGGAGAGGGGGAAAAATTAAGGCAAAATTCTAATTTAAGCCTACACTTTTAACAAATTCTTAATTAGGCCAAGAGGTCTAACTAGGGATTTCTAAATGTTGCTAAAAGAACAAAATGCCCTTCATAATTAAAAAACCTAATTTTAGTTTTAATTCTTTTAATTGAATTTAACTAACATGTTTTTTTCTTTAAACATTATCACATGAAAATTTGGCCAAAAACATTATCATATAAAAAACAAAAAAAGAAAAATAACGATTATAGCCCATAAAAAATAATTGAAAATTCAAGATAAAAAAATACATAATTTCTAGATATCTATAGAATTGCAAAAATATGGGAACTAATAAAAATTTTATGATTTCAAATGTAAAAGATTAACAAGATCAAAGATTTTTTTTTGTGTGAGAAAAAGACCAAATCAAATATTCATGGAATTCTTGAATATCTATCAAAATTAATTTTACTATTTCACAACTTACAGTGAGACTCATTAATTCATCTTCAATTTTTCGGTTTTTAACATTTATTCAATATCAAATTTTTATTATATAAAAAAATGAAAGGCTATAAATTCTTGAGTTGACATAAGGTTCACAATTACAAAACACACCTTTGACATAAAATCTAAGAAAGACCACGTCCTTATTAGTAAATCTACTAGAATAATTAAAACTAAAATTAGATTTACACCTACATTCAATTTTCCTTTTTGATTACAAAGAGGCATTCCGGTCTTTTAGCAACATTTGAAAATCCCTAATAAGGCCTCGTAGCCTAATTAGGAATTCGTTAAAAGTATAAGCCTTAATTGAAATTTCATTATTTTAGATAGATTTAATTGGGATTTTTCCAAAAGTTAATGAGTTTGATTTTAAAAAAAAAATTGAATAAGCAAAGTTAAAAGTTTTTAATTAATTTTTATTAACTTTTTATATTATTTCTTCTTTTTTGTTAAAATTTTAAAACTCCACTTCTCCTATTTTTCAAATACAGCTTATCCCATTTTTCTCATACTTTCCTCATACCAAATAGCAGCCGGTATTAAGGATAGGAAGGATTTAGTCTTAATTATTGGAGGCAGCAACACACTAGTGCAAAATATGAGAAGGAAGCCGCCACGAGGAGGCGCCTCAATAATGGAGGAATTAGACAGCGGTATTTTGTTGGGTGCTTCCCCGGATAAGCACCAATTAGAACCAGGTGGAACGTTGGTTTGGGCCCACTTCTAAGAATTTGACTACTAGTTTTGAATGTTGAAATCCATCTTTGACCATTTACTTTACGTACCCGCTATTAATTAATTCTAATTTTAATTCAAATCAGAATCGGATTAATTTATTAATTGGGAGAAATCCCTTATAAGGCTTACAATTCTTAATGAAAAATCTGGTTAAAAATTTTTTAATGAAGAATGCCTAAATTTAATATATTCCATATTCAAAGAGTTAACCTGAATATTGAAAGAGTGCCAAAACCTGATCCCGTCAACTCTGTTTGATAATGGGAGCTGTCTAATCCAGATGAGCCAAAACATTTTTGAGGTGCTTTATTAAGCATGAGGTAGCGAGTTTCATCTTTCTTAATACCCCTCATCCTCTTTTATTTAATTATAGTTGAAGGAGTATCCATAAAGATAATTTAGAAAAAAAATTAATAAATATGAAAAATGAGTCTTATATTTAGGACGAAAACCAACTCAACAATTGGGTCTTATATTAAGGACCGGAGAAGTAGTTCTTAACTATAGAAGATAATATTGCTATGATTTTTAATTTTTAAAACAAATTTGCATAAAAAAAATTCCGACCGCTGAACACTTTTAAGTGAGAATTTTTGAGATAAATTTACAACTTAACCTATTTTTATATACAGAAAATAGGGGTGCTCTGCAAATTCCCTCCGCATAAAATACTAATACTTTGATTTAGATATTTCTCACCAGAAAAATATGTAATGGTGAATTTTCTCCAATTTTTCCTTAATATTTTTAATTTGTGTTATTAACATTAAAGTATAGAAAATTTTGAATGAAGGGGGCATAAATAAAAGGCAAATAAAACATATGGAAAGCGGTTGAGACATGTACGTCACAACTGGCCATGTGCAAAAAATTGTTGGGATTCTTTAAGAATTCTGTTGTCAGTGTCGTTAATTGCCCTTTCTTGTTCCTTTTCAAACCAATACTCCAAAGCTTACACACATTTTAATAATAATAATAACATAGTCTAATAATAAAGCCATGGTTCCATTATTATGTTGAAAGCTATCTGCAAATTAAAATTACGTGTTTGATGCTTCCCCTTGGTTCTTTTACTTTAATTTTATTATTATAGTATTATATTTCAGAATGGAAGGGCAACTTAACGTTCCAAAAATACGGTCATTAATGTTTATAATGTATTATTACCTTTGATAGCTAATATAAGAGGTTAAATTTAATTTAATCATAAATATAATATCTTAATTCATTTTGTTTTTCAATTTTTTTTCCTAAACTATAAAAATTTAAATCAATGTGTAATTTCAATACAAATGATTTAATAAAGTGTTTTAAAAAATCTAACAAATATTTTTAATAAATAACTAATTTAACTGTTTTTTTAATATATTTAAATTAACTAAGTAAATCTTATATTGACAAGAGAATGCTAAATTACTTCAAAGTTCAAAGGATGCGAAGCAAATCAAAAGTATAATATTACTTCCGATTCTTAATATAAGAGCTAGTCGACTAATTTGAGTAGATTAAAAAAATTAGTTATTTCTAATAAATAAGTATTGCCTTTCTTAAAATATCCTTGTTAATCAAACATATTGATTATAACTATTATTATTACAAAAATTACCTTAAAAATAGATAAATATGATAAATAAATAAATTATAATCTTATATTTAATATCAAAATAAAAATCAGATGAGTTTTTATATTAAAGATAAAAAGCAGTAGTTAAGACAAGACTAAATACGCATTTACCGGCTCCAGTGCCAATCTCATCCTCGTTCAGTTGATTGGGAACTGGGAACCCTGTCCGTTGTCTAGCTGCCAATAAAATATATTTTGTGTATGTTTAGCCGTTTGGGATAACATTAAAAAAAAAAAAACTCAAAAATCAGTTCGAATAAAAAAAAAGATTAGATAGATTAAAAAAAATAATGCGCTTTCTTTAAATTTAAATCTTTTAAAACTTACTTTTTAATTATTATCCAAACAAAATTTTTATTAAACTGATTTTTTTATAAAAATATATTCAAATATAAAGCATATCGTATTAATTATATTTTATCCTAATTTTATTATATAAAGTTCAGTTAAAATAAAAATCACTTTTACCAATATTAATCCAAACACATCCTTAATAATATTTTTTGTTACATGTTTCTTATTTGTTATTCAAGTAAAATTTTAGTTAATAGTAAATTTATCATGGATTCTAGTTTATTATAATATATTGATTGAATTTTTTTTATTATAAAAATTGTTCAATTTTATAGAAACATGTTCTGCTTAATTCTCATAATTTTAGAATATTTCACTTTAATTAATGTAGTTCAAATTGAAACGAGAACATGATTATAAAGAAAAAATGTGAACAAAAAATGTTGAAAAAAAAAGAGGAAGAGGATCAAAATATTTAATATTGAGTTCTCTCACATGAGTTGTAGTTTTGGGGGCATGTATAATTATTAATTATTAATTATATGATATATTTGAAAAAATGCGTTGGCAAAAGAAAATTAAAAAAAATTGATGGTGCATGCGTGTGAACATGCGTTTTTTTTACCGGTTCGAGGTGTGCCCACTTGAGTTTGTTTATCAATCGTACTACTTCTTTTTTTTTATTTTGCCAACGTTTATTATGTATTTCTTAGCTCTTAAGAAACTCGCACTTTTATAAATTAAAAATATTTCTGCACAAGGTTGAAGCGAGCTATTTTATATGATTAAAAACATTAAAAAAATTATGGAAAATATCACTCTTGTTCGTATTAATCACTACGTGATAATTAATATACTGAATCTCTAGTCAAATTTCATACAAGTTTATCATTTATTTATTATTATGTTGTTTTTTTTCTCATGAGGTATATTATATGTTAAATAGTGATAAAGTTAGAATGTTATTAAATTCTAAATGAAAATTAATAAAATTTAATATTTTTATTGATCTATATAATAAAACATGAAGGTGTTGTGGGGGGTACGTCACAACTGGGCATGCGCCCAAAAAACAAATGGTTATAATAATTCAATCTTGAGACTTATTTTTCCACTGTCGTTAATGGGGAAGTAACGTTATTGGGAACAATAATAATACTTTAAGACTTTAAAACCTTAAAAATATCGATCTTAAGATATTTTTAATTTCCTTTTTTTTTAGGATATATAGTTTTTTTTTCTAATGACATTTGAAAAGGTGATTGTAATTTCTGTGTTGCAATTTTCCGCCATGCTTTTGCTGCAGCGAGGAGACAAAAGTTTCAAAATAAACTAAAGGCCAAGGCATTTTAAGGCTGCAAAATAGATGCCAAAACTCAACTCAAAGGTTAGTCCTTTTTTTTGGAGGGGTTGGATTTGGCAGCTTATGGCTTGTCTGATCGAGCAAAAAAACGTAAAAAATTGGGCTAGGCTAAACTTGGTTTAGGCAATCCAAGACTTCAATTTGCCTTTTCAAAAAAAAAACAATTTTTTGAAAAAAAAAAGAACATTCAAATGATAAAATATTAAAAAGATCTCACTCAAACCGACCAAGCCAGACTATTTGGTATGATCACTTAGTCTAGAACTTGATCCAACCAATCCGGTTCAATTTGATTATATGATTTATTTAGACCGAATTGGACAGAGCCACTGAGTGCATACCCCTAATTCTAATCTTGCATAATTGTTTTTTCTTTATGAGTATACATCTAATTAAAATTTGATGCAATTTTTATTCTTCCCTTCTCAATTTGAAATTTGAAAATCCTGTAAATTATCACTTCATCGGATGTGAAAGGATGACAAAAATATAATAGCCCAATGGGATTTGCGATAGAAAATATAACTTATTTTCAATCTAATTTTTAGAAAAGTCATATTGAGTAATGTGATTTGTGTTTGGACTAATTTTCATAAAAGTTATTTTGTAAAGAAAAAACTGTTTGAATTATGATTGAATAAATAAGTTTAGATTTTAAAATGACTAAAATGGGTATGACTTTCATTAAATAATGAAAAAGGATTAAAATTATGAATTTATAAAATATGATAATTTTAAATTATTATAATAGAAAAACGTTGTATTTAATGAATAAAATACATTTAAATTAGAAATCAAATTAATGTGAAAATTTTTAACCAAATAATATTGCATAATTAATTGGATTATATATTTTGCATAATTTATGTAAATATAAAATAAAAATAATATTAAAAATTAAAAATATTAAAATACTGTTAAAAATTATTTTTAATTAAGAAAATATTAAAAATAAATAACTAAAATTGATTGGGATGTACATGAAATATATAGAGAAAAATATAAGAACAATATAAACATAAGAGCAAAAATATCTTTTAATTCTAAAAAACTAGTTTTGCATAAGTCATAAGTAAGCTTTAGATGCTTTTGCAATCATATTTAAAAAATCAGATTTTAACTCATAAGTCAGATTAGCCAAAAGTTAGTTCTCAAATTTACAACTATGCACAATATAATATAATATTAGCCAAAAGTCAGTGTGTGTGTGTGTGAAAGCTCTTTTTTCTCGACCAAAACGTCGTACCAAACAGCACAATATAATAAAACTAAGCACACATTCACACGCTCCCTTGTCGATGTCATCCTTGTTAAATTTATTGGTACCTTGAACCTGGTCCCCTGTCTTGTTAATTATACCGGGCCTCACGATCTGTCCATGTGCTTCTTATTTGTTAATATATTTTTGCTCCATTTTTATTATTTATTTCTTCACTCCACAGTATAAATATGATTTAACTCTCATATATCAATTAAAAAATACTACCTCCTCTCCTTAATATAATATAAAAATATAGAAGCATAAAAGCTAATTGAAAATTGTATATGGTTCTATATATAAAATTTCAATTCACTTTGTTTTTTTTTCTTCTTTTGAAATATCTCTAATGATTATAAAAGGTTCATTTATTAAGATAATTTTAATGAACATAATTAAATATGATAATTTAATAAAGTCAATATATATGTATTATAATTAACTAAACTTAGGTATTGTCTTTAATTTCTCCAAATTAATTATTTAGCTATTATGATAAGAATCGGAGGTGGTAATAGTCAAATGAAGGTCATATTATTAGATATGTAAAAATTTGAAAAATTTTTGTAAATATATGTTATACATTAATTATAATAAATTAATTAATTGCACAATTTTTCGGATTAGAAGTTATATGGCATCCGCTAACTGATAGATAGCGATTGATTCTCTTAAAACATAAAGATCATTTAAGTGAATCTTCCCTCTTCTAACAAAATATTTTTTCCACTAACTCTTGATTTCTTTAAATTAATTAAAGCTGGCTTATAAATAGGAATATACATGGTATATATGAAAGCATAAATCACTACTAGAAGAAAATTGGAGAAAAGGACATAGGGACGAAAATAGGTCAGGACATTATCAGGAGTTTACAGTCCGGCCTGATTGGGGCTTGGCATGGCCTAACTTATTTGTTAAATAAGTTAGGCCTAAGGCCTATTTAGAGGCCTTTTAAAATAAACGTTTTAGGCTTTTACATTTAAAATCTGGCTTGAAAGCCTACGGATCTAACATAATTAATTTTTTAAAATTTATTTCATTATATGTATCAAAATATTTAGGTTTTTAAGTGTATCAAAAGCCCATATTTATGTAGGTTTTAGTAAGCTCAGAGGTTATTTACAGTTTTTTTTTTGACTAAGTATAAGTATTTTCTTATTGAAAATAATTCTATTCGAGACGCTATAGGAGTAAAAGTACAATTCCACTACGTGTAGTTTATTCTGCTGTAAATTAAACTCATATGATTTACAACAGACTTAAATGATGAGCTAATTTATTATTAACTTTTTAATAAATTTTAGATATAACGTAATCCATTGATATGTTAATCTTGTTTACATCGAAGCTAACTTATCTAGAATTTGCAACATGTTATATATCACACACACAAAATTCAAATGTTACATAATTTTTCCCTTTTTATTTTATTTTTATTATTTATTGGGGCTGCTAATGCAAAACAAGGTTAAGTCCAATGATTTTGTGCTTGTATAAGACAAAAATTTTTATTATGGTTTAAATACCCATTTCCTCAATTATTGGGCTATCTTGGCCCAGTCCACATAAGCTAGATAATGGGCCGTTGTCATAGGAGGGCAAAGCCCGGTTAGCCCGTTTTTCAGAGCTCCATGATTTTGTTTCTCTCATATGGCGTTATTGTTTCAATTAATTCAGGAACAGCATGAGAGGAGAGCGTAAAATTTCATGAAGTGTTATTTAAAATAGAAGTGGACTTCCACCTTGTTTTTTGGGAAAAAAAATTAATTTCAATTTTTTTTATAAGATTGAATGCATATTTGTTTAGTTATGATCAATGAAAATAAAATTTACTGTTCTCTATTATTATTGGTGCATGTTAAAAAATTCAATATATTTTACTTGTAATAAATACATAGATATAATGCATATTTTTAATTTACATTATTTGAGGATTTTTAATTCAATAAATAAAAATATATTAAGAAGGTAAGTTATGATTGCAAATTTTAACATGATTCAAGCAAGATCGGTATATCTTAGTTGTAATTTGAGAATTAAAAAAAAAAGGATGAAATCCTAGAATTAATAAGATTGTTATAGTTTATCTTTAAAAAAAAATTGGAAATGGATAAAATTAAAACACAACATTCTTGAAATCATATACATGGAAACACAAGGATTAATGGCCAAAAAAGATAAACCGGCGATACCATATTTTCCTGAATTAATAGTACTAAATATTAATAGTTATGAAATATTTTTAAAAAAAATCAAAACACAAAAATTAAATTGTAAAAAGGACTAGCTGTTGCACATAATTCTTTTCATAAAGGCAGTAGTTGAATAACAAGGGGGAAGAGAGGAGGGTCCATGGAAATAGAATGATACAAAAGTAGAGTGCAGAAGAATTAAAACGTATGGAAAATGCAGTGCCTTACTTAATAAGAAATTAAAAGTCTCAACTAAGAACTTGAAATTAAAACATCTCAAAGAGAAGGAAAGACACAATCAACTAATGCATTATAGAAAAAACTTCAAGTGTTATTCCATGTTTGGTATTCCAACTTTTGACCACAGGAGAATGAAGTTGGTAACATTTATTATGTATATAAAGATGGAGATGGGAAAATCAACCTCACTACGAAACAAACCACCACACCCAATTTTGAAGTAGTAATATTAGTATGCATATATAGGAGAATGCTATATCCTTTTATTTCTTGTTTGATAGGATAAAGTGAAGAAGAAGAAGAAAAAAATGGGAAGTGAATTATATTTTATGTTTTTCTTATTCTTTAGTTTGTCTAGGTAATAAATGAAGTAAACAAGAAATGGCAAGTCGATACTAACTTCACACGTCTTATTACATATCATAATAGCCAAGTCATATGTAGAGATGAGACCTACACATGCCTTTGGTAAGATATATACTACCTCTAGTCCTGATCATAAAACCTAGTTGATTAATTTGGAAAGATTAAAAAACTTAGTTAAATTAGTTATTTGTAATGAATATGTGTTATTTTTCCTAAAATATCCTTACTAATCAAGTTTGTTATCTAGAACTACCATTATTAAAGGACTATCTTAGAAAAAAATAAATAAATATAAGAGACAAAGTAGATTGGTGTCTTATATCTAGGATCAAAATAAAAGTCAAATGGGGTTTTATATTAAGGACCGGAGATAGTATTATCAAAAATTAAGATACTCCTCCTGTCCTTAATATAATACCTCTTTATCTAATTTAATTAGATTAAAGAAGTTAGGTAAGTTAGTTAGTTATAAAAAATATGACATGTTTTTCCCAAAGTTCCATAATCATCTTTCTCAATATCATTCCTCCCTCACTTACTTGATTATAGTTGAAGGAGTATCCATAAGGATAATTTTAAAAAAAATTGATAGATATGATAAATAGGTCATATCTTTAAGACCAAAATTAACTTAACAATTAACTCTTATATTAAAGACTGGAGGAGTTTTTTTTTTTTTTTTAGGCCTCAAAAGTTGTGTGAAACGAGACAAATAGAACAAACATCTCTCTCTCTCTCTCAATATCTATTTTTTGTCAAAAACTTTTTTTAATTTTGGCAGACGCCGAAACATTTGTATGCTTTATTTACGGATTTCTCCTCTAAAAACATATTAATTCAAACATCATATCACACATGCTAATGGTCAGGTCATATAAGTATAAGACCTACAGATAACATGGTACATTTTGTATTTTGTTAGATGCATATTATTTCATGATTCTCCTTTGCACTACATGAAGAGGGAAAAATAGAATTGAACATGGAGGATGTCCTTCCTCTCTTTAATTTCTTTCTCTGCACAGGTTTTCTATAACGTTGTGATTGAGGTTGTGCTTTATTCCTTGTCTTCTCAGTTTTCTAATGATAGAAGTGAAAAATCTAATCCCTATTAGCTTGGTGATATAAACAGTATGATATGAGAACTACACATTACTTAATAATTTGCATTTGACGAAATACAAATTACTACCTTCGATTATTAATATAAGATCTCGTTTGACTTTTATTTTGATCCTAAATATAAGAACCCAGTCTACTTTGCCTCTCATATTTATTTATTTTTTTAAAATAATCCTTCTAATAATAGTAGTTCTAGTTGATAAACTTGAGTGGCAAAGATATTTTAGAAAAAACAATACTTATTTATTACAAATAACTAACTTAACTTATTTTGTTAATTTGTTTAAATTAGTCAATTAGTTCTTATATTTAGGATCGGAGATAGTATTACTAATCTATTGATTCTCTTTTGCACATAACAAGAGCAGCATAAAGAGAGAGAGAAATAGAACTAACATGTATTCCTATTTGCTTTCTCTCTCTATACATTTTTCCATAATGATGTGATGAAACTTGTGTTTATTGACTTCTCTTTTGCTATAAAAGAACGAAAATCCCAATTCTTATTAACTTGATCATATGAACAAGAAATCCCAATTCTTATTAACTTGATTATATGAACAAGCTAATGGGCAGGTCATATAAGCACAAAACCTACAAATAAGTCGATACTCTCTCGGTTCTTAATACAAGATCTAATTATTGAGTTGATTTTGATCATAAGTATGAGATCTATTTGTTATATTTATCAGTTTTTTCTAAATTACTAAATTACCTTATTATTGATACTCCCTCAAGCATAATCAAGTAAAAGAGGGAATGAGGATATTAAGAAAGATGATTATAGTGTTTTAGAAAAAACATGTCATATTTTTTATAATTAACTAACTTACCTAACTTGTTTAATCTAATTAAATTAGTTAAATAGTCTTATATTAAGAATGAATACTCTGCATTTGATAAAATGCATATTATTACAAACCTCGGGATTCTCTTTCACGCGTGACAAGTGCTGCTTGAATAGGAAAAATTCTTCTCTGTTCCTCTCTTCACACAAGTTTTTTACTCTATGACAGAATTTATAAAAAAAAAAAACAGGAAAATATACAAAATATATTACTCTTCCTGTCCTTAATATAGGACCCAATTCTTGAGTTGGTTTTGGTCCTAAATATAAGACCTTTTATCATATTTATCAATTTTCTCTAAATTACCCCTAAGGATACTGTATCAACCATAATCAAATAGAAGAGGGAGATGAGGTATTAAGAAAGGTGATTATGGTGTTTTAAGAAAAATGTTTATTTTTCTTATAATTAACTAACTTATCTAACTTCTTTAATCTAATCAAATTAGTAAAATGGGTCTTATATTGAAGACCGAAAGTACTAATTACAAAAGTGGAACTAACGTGGGCCCCTGCTTCTTCTCTCTTTCCCTCTTCACACGAGTAGTTTTACAGCGTTATGAGTTATGACAGACTTCATACTTCGTTCATTGGTTCATCTCTCAGGTGACGACGTCCTGTGTATTGGGCAGATAGAGAAGAAACTTTTTTTGTCTATAAATACTTAAACCTCTTTCCCTTTTCTGTAGAGCCGTCAAAACGGGCTAAGCCCATCGGGCCAGCCCTTTTAAGGCCAGCCCTTTTAAGTAGGTGGGGCTGGATAAGTGTGGTTTTGGGTTTAGTTATAGGTTGGGCTTAAAAGGCTTAACTTAAAAGGGCCCCTATAGGGCTCAAAAATAAAAGGGCCAACCCTTAGGGTCAAGGGCTAGCCCTTTTAAGCCCTCCTATTTTTTATTATTATTATCAATATATTTATAAAGTTATAGATTAGTTTTTTATGAATAAGTTTAAATTAGAAAAATACTTAGAAGAATCAATACTCAAGCTAGATAATTGAAAAGAATTAGATGTCTTGGACTTGTGGAAGAACAATTAAAATCAATTTTCAATTCTTTCAAGAATGGTAGCTGATATTCTTAACATTTTAATCACCATAATAGCTAGTAGATCTTCATTTACCATCAGTTTACATATCTTAACAAAGTGTAAAACTTTTCTTATTCGAACAGATGTTCAGGCTCTTGTTTGTACTTATAACTACTGCATAGTTTTATTTTAGATAAGGTAAATGAAGACCAAAAACCTTAATATTTTTATCACTGAAGAAGAGCTCACTTGTAGTAAAGAACAATCAAATATTGTTGATCTTGATGATACTGAGGAAGATGAAGATAAAGATAATAATTATGTTGATATTGTTAATCTTTAACTGCTAGGTTTTATCTGTCTGTGTTTTGTGTTTTGTTAGATTTTGATTTTTTTTTATTTTGGACAATAGTTTATTGGCATTTAATTTTTTTCTATACACCACTAATTTATTTTACTTATATTTATAATTTGAATAAAAAATCTTAAAAGTTTTGTTGTTTATTTTTTATTTTAAAATAATTAAAAAGAATTTAAATTTTAAAAAAATAACATAAAAGGGCCAGCCCTTTTAAGCCCTGAGCCCGTATGTTCAAGGGCCGGGCTTTAATAATTAAATAATTTTAAGGTATGTGGGCTTTAAAGGGCCTGCCCTTTTAGGCCCTGGCCCTTCAAGGGCTAGCCCTTTAGGGCCGGACTAGCCCTTATTGACAGCTCTACTTTTCTGGCTCTAACCATGATTTCTGTAATTGAAGAACTTATGCTTCATTCACTGGCTAAGTAGAGAAGATGATGGTGAAGAAGAAAAAATAAATAAAACCCAAATTTTTATTAACTTAGCATTTCATGTCATGTGC